TAATAATATGTCATCTGAAAGGTCATTACAGCAAAGCCTTAAACACCAGAGCTTTCATGTGTTTCCCAGCTTGATTTTGGATGTCGTGTTCGCTATTCCCTATCGTCAGCAGGCCTGATTTCTTTTTGAGCTTGGCATCAGAAAAAATCCCCCAAAAAACAAAAATAAAATGAAATAAAAACAGAAAATGGATGCTGGGTAGTTTTCTAGAAAGTGAGCATCATCTCTTCCAGACTGGAAATGTTTTATTTGCTTGAGAGTTATTTTAAAAGGTATTTTTACATTCTATTTTTAGCTTCTGACATTCAAAGCCAGACTAAGTTCTAATATTTGTTTTTATTTGTATTGTTTTAATATAATTTTTTCTTATTTTTTAAGCTGTACAGCACTTTGGTCATCTGTTTTTCTTTTAAAGCTGCTCATAAATAAATTCACTTGACTCGGGGCATCAAATCATTTCCACAGTATGTTATAATGTTTCATATATAAAAACCCAGCAAAGTGAAAATTAGTTAACTTTCATAAAAATCTACTGGAGAGATAATATTTACCTGCTCAGGGTTGCATTTTATTATGCTGTGTATGTAAATGGATTTAGTTATCTTTCACTCCTTGAAACATGTCAAGAAATGTCAGATAACCATGAAAGAATCTGCTGAATTTCCCACTTTTTAATCATTATATAAAAAAGTATTTTGTCTTTTATTTTGACTTATGGCAGAAAAGAAAAGAAGATACAAGACAAGAAAAAAAAAGCTCTAAGGTGATTTAATGTTAGCTAATGCTCTATCTTGGTTTTCCAACACACTGAAGTAAGATGGTGTACATTGCAAACCTGCTCAGTATCAGCTCTTTGGCATCAGTGTGAGAATTTTATGCCTCAGGGGGTGTGCCAAAAATAATTCACTTACTTATCCAAAGGATTGCCGAGGTACGCACGCGAATTACTTGGCTCTCTGAATGAATAGATCGGCTTGTCGAGTGGGAGACCCGTCTGGTAGCGCGACAAGAAAGATATCCTACTGGCCTCTTAGCACTCAAAGCTTCTCATTTTCAACATATTAACAAATGAGCACAAATGCGGCCGGCCTCATAAACAGCAGAGAAGGAGTATTGTGTTGAGAGAAAGATTGTCTCGCCGCTGTTTGACATTTCACTTCTTGGAAACAGAAGCAATCTGTGTGTCTTTTACACTTCATGTGCTGTCTGTTTTTTCACGTTTATTGCCACTTGCAGCTGCCAGTGTAAAACGTCCCTTGTACATCTTTAAATATTTTCTCCGTGCTGCATTTTGGATGCTGGGTAATAATTTGCATTTTTTCACCCCTTTATCATCATCTGCATAAAATGTTTCACCTGGGATACACAGAAAAAATCTAAAGCGCTTGCTGATACTACCCTCATGATGCAAACTACCTAAATGGGAAAAAAATAACCAATCCAGAGCAGTGAAAAGCTTATAAATTAGATGTGAAAGGGTGATCCTGATAATGTATAAAATCCCTGCGTAATCATGCAGAGAGAAGGTGGCAGTGACCTTGAAGGCTAAAAATTCTTTTGTGAAACCTAATTTACTGCACAATGAACGGTGCTGGGTGCAGTGGAGGAAACTGCGCAGAGACTGAGTGTGTCACTGTCTTGCTTGTTTGCGGTGAGACAGCACGCAGCTACAGGGTAAAGAGATCTTATACCGTACGTTTGTTTTAAAAAGCCTGTGCTGTTTTGTCATCGTATTTTCAAGTTATGATGTAAGGGGGGAAGAAAAGGTTGTCAGTTGGGATGCAAATTAGCAAGTCTAATCTCCTCTCTAATGTGTCTCCAGTTTATCACGTGACCAAAATGTTTGTTTTATTCATCTGTTGTTTAGGACGCCTCCCATTAATGCCTGCAACTGCAGATTTAGCTTTAACCGCAGTGACAGTTCTAAGATGTCACACCACATATAACATTTCAAGACAGTCAAACCAGAGTCTCTGAGCGTCAATATCTTTCTCTCATATCTTGACACCAGTGAACCAAAACTCTCATTCACTCTCATATTGCTGTGCTGCTGCTCCGCTGACACTGAATGAAGATCCGACTGAGATTTCATACAATGACAGCTGAAACTTTTACATCTAAGAAAGCTGTACAGAAAAAATAGAAAGCTATAGAACTGCTTTTAGTCAGGAAACGCTCTTTCACCATCAAACAATGTGAGGAAAATGTACTCACACTCGGCTTTCCTTCCTGAGTTTTATTAATGTGCAATTACAGGTGTACAATATAGTTTTTTATTACAATTCTATTCATCCAACTCAGGGTTGCATGGGGGCTGGAGAGGCAGGGTACAACCTGGACACACCATGAATGCTTACACTTACACCTACTGCTAGTTTGGAAACATCAATTCATCTAACACGCATGCCATTGGACTGCTGGAGAAAGGCAAAGTACCCACAGGGAACACGATGAAAATGTGCAAACACCACACAGAAAGGCACCAGCTGGCCTGTGGAGTCAAACCCAGGACATTCTTACTGTGAGAAGGAAGTGTTAACCATGACACTATTGTAGAAAACTGTGGGAGAACTGTAGAAATTCTTTTTTGAAAGGCTTAGTAAGAGGTAGTTGCACATTTGAGACCCCAGACATGATCTTTGAGCAGGTTCTGTTTTTTGTACCTTGCAATAAACTGCTATAAAAATTTGCTGTCTATTCATTTAGTTTTGCATTTTCTATAGACTGTTGGGTTATGATTGCTTCAGTAACGCCTGCCTCGCGCTTTGCTACAATCAAAACCCTGCCTGTAAAACATATCAAAATGGAGCTACATCATTGCTCAGTCCTTTCTATCAAAAAGACAATAAAATAATCATAAAAATGCTTCACCATGCTTCATTTTCTGTTGCAAATTTGGGGTCCAGTTCATTCTTGTTAACGCTGCCTATGAAACAGGAAGTTGGCGACTGAGAGTTCCCCTTTATTGATTATTTCTTTTAAAATTCTCTGATGGCAATAGTTGCACAACTGCTGTGCAAGTTATGATGGAGCTACAACGAATATGCATAGATGGTAACGTGTCCTAATCGAGTAAACAGTGTAATAAATTGTTTACTGAGGTGATAATGGAAACAGTAAAAGAACAGCTGAACAGTGTAAAGATTATATTCAATGCAGATTCCTTGACAATAAAGAATGTTATTGTAGATTACAGTAGTCCGATTGTAAAATAACAGTTTACTGCTGGCAAATCAGCTGCTGGTATTTCACTATAATTTAACAGGGAAATTTCTCTCACTTTACTTTCATGTTATTCTGTGGGGTTTAAAACCATTTATGAACAGTCTTTCATATGAAATTTTCCTCTGAGAGGCTGTGATATTTCCTTCAGTAAAGTGAGACACCAGCGGGACTCCTGTGCATAGCGCACACTTTCTGAGTTCCAGCCGTCTTTGGCAAAACGGTTATATTATTAATCACACATATCTGAAATCAGCACGGGGCTGTTTCCATGGTGATTTTGTGACATTTATTTAACGCCCCAGTTGTCTCTCAGGGTGAGAATTGTTTCTCAAAAACAAAACCTCCTCCCGTCTTCGGTTACATCATGTTGAGTCAAAGATTAAATCCTGCCAGCAAACACACTGACATCAAGGTAACATCCCTGAAAAACAGAGGACCAGACGAGCACTTAATAAAGCAAAATTCAGTGACCGACTTTCCCTCTGATTTCGAGGGGGAGAGAGGTGGGAAAGATGGTTCAGCAGGAGCCTAAAGAAAGTTTTAACTGCCTGCTGTGCCACAGATCCTCTCAAGGATTGAAGTGCTGAGAGAGGCATTAATAGATTGCTACATGAAAAACAAACCTTATCCAAAATAGAAGTGTTGCCTCCCCTTCAGTTTGCCACACATGGTATGCCAGCCTTGATCACAACCAGAGTGCCAAGGCTGAGCCTTGATATCTTAGACCCACTGTTAAGTAGGCTCATGGGACGCTCTGCCGTTCCAGTTGTGGCTTCTCGTTGGTCGTTCGGAGAGATGATAGCTGTCAAGATGATGTCCTTATTCATTTCTGTGGCTCAGCCCTTTAATAAACTTTGCCGTCTCAACTGTACCTCCCTGCCACAGTGAAACCTTCTTAACATTTAAACAGGGGCCCTAATGAGGGCGCAGACCTGCAGAATTATTTAAATGGATGGTTAAGATGCGAATGCTGCCAGAGCTGAATTATTACTGTGCTACTGTGTGCTTTAGTTTGTCTGGCAGACAGAAATTCATACCTAATCTGCCATCTCATTAAACACCCTAGAGCTTCTAAAGTAACCTAGATCTGCGATCCTGGAACTTTGATGTACTTATCCTATCAAAAGCATTTTTGTCTTGCGGCTGCCCCTTTCAGACTTTTTTTAAGCCCAATTATTCCTCATGATCGCTGACAAAATTGCTTATATTTATCTCAAGCTCACTGTTTCTGTAAACTGTGGCTCATTTGAATCAGGCAATATTCCCTCGCTGAAATCCAATATTCTGTCTTTTGCCAGCGGCAAACCCTACAGAAACCAAGAAGAGGTTCACAAAGCAGGGTTGCCGTTTCCCTGTGCGGGTACATGTGAATGTGTGTTTATGTTGTTAAAATGAAACTGTTTATTTTAAAGTGTATTTCATGTGCAGTGTGGTGTATTTATGAAGGTGTATGATCACTGCTAGTAAAAAAAAAGAGTGTGTCCCTGCAGAGTGGTTCCCAAAACCTATCTGAAAGCATCTGTGTTGACGGTGTACAGCTGAATGTAAGAAACAGAATGATGTTTTGCATTTTAGATAAATATAGCGATAAACAAGCAGCCCTCGGTTATATTAGTTATTGTCTCGTGAGGATTCAGATTACAGGATGTGGCTCTTTAAACATTTTACCGAGTCTCAGCTCTGAAAGACTATCCAAACGCTGTGCTCCTAGTGTTGTATGATATGAAATAATGAGGACGTGCAAATTAATTTACATAATTGTTGTTTAATTGCAGCAGCCGAGGGTGTTAAGGATGCAGCAGCCCCTGCTGGTAAGAGCCTTCATGACATCTAAACTGGGCCCACTAGCTGTGCTCCAGATATCCAATTTATTTTTTGAGTAATGCATACAGTGGCCACCCACTCTAAGCAGAACATGCACTGGAAACAAATATTTAAAGAAATGCTTCTAATATAATTTTTTTTCTCTCATTTACAGATAACAAGGGTAAGAAACCGGCGTTCAGTGTTGGTTAGTCTCTGTGTCACGCAGACTGTCTGTAGATCATCCTCATCCTCATCTTTCTCATCCTTTTCATCATCGCTGTCAGCTTCATCACCTTCATCCTCATCATCAAAATAATGTCTTTCCTTCCACTGATTCAGAGATGTCAGGAGAGGAGGAGGGTAAGGTTTAAAGATGAACCCGAACAAACACAGAAGCAGTGAACTTCTGTGGTGATGGGGTTGAGTGTGGAGATGCATGATCACACACTTACACACATGCACTTGAGCAGTTCAGAATTCCTCGGTAATCACTTGTTAAAATCTCGAGCAGTGAAGAAGGTGAAGAAGGTGTTTAATTCACGGGTAAGTGTCACACCGTGTATACACGAGCCCGTCTATATGATATTTTTGGCTTTATTTAAATCTGTGATTACATGCAATGGATACAGATGAATATTTGCCTTTTAGCTACATTTATATAATTTACTGGAGCAATATAGCATTCCTAAATTAAATCTTATTCGTGTAGGGAACAGCTGAGGACTTCAACCAATTTTAAATCAGTTAGAAAAAGATAAGCTGGCACCTTATCAGCACAATATTTATCCTGATATTAGTTTATTTATTTAATTAAAAAGTAGGTTTTGTGTCTGATTTTTTGTTTGCAGCTTCTACATGTGTATCTATGTTTAGCTGATATACAAAAAAGTGTTTGTGATTAGACAAAATCCAACATGGAAGACAAATCGCCCCTTTTGGTTTTTCCAGAGGGGACATATCCAGAGAGGAAAACATTAAATTTAGTATTAATTGCTGCAGGTAAATTGTAATACAATTAAAGGCATTGAAATTAAAATCTCTAGGTTGCCATGGCTACAAAAATTCTTGCCTATTTCCTCATGTTTTAAATAGCATCAGTACTACTACTGTACTACCAATGCCGATAATAAAGATATGAATAATTTAGGAAGTAAATGTGTTCGGCAGAGCCACTGCGGAAGTCTGAACTGATGCTATCTGTGCTGCTAAATAAAACTATGGCAGTGAGTAGGACTAAACAATTTACACTGGTGTCATGAAAATAGAAATGATTTTAATCAACTTCCACATTAACATCAGTTGTTAATCCAAATGTCAGATAACCTGTTGAGGTTTTACTGTTTTCGTGAAGATAAAGGTTCACTAAAATAACCACTATAAAATAGACATAATACATGTTTTACTAATGGTTAAGAATGTTAGAAAACAGAATGGAGATTCTCAACCTGTTAACCTCCATCTTTTAAGTGGAAGGAAGCTTTTATATTTACATTTTAACATTTTCTTGTTCAATATGACTTTTAACTGGAATATTGAACCGTAAACTGTTTAAGTGTCAGTTAACAGTTAATTATTACATGTAATAATGAATTATTCTGAAAATCGGCTAAAGCTCATTTTCCTGTGAATTTTCCTTTTTCGAAACTACAAACTGAAATAGTTAATATTTATTTTTAATTCAGGAGTAGTAAACCTGGGATATACCCAGCACCTCTAGCGTTTTCTGAAATGCCCGATGATGGGTTCAAATCAATAATATAAATTATTATTACTAATTATTGTTGTTGTTATTGTTCTGGTTGTGTCATCACCCTGTAGTGTTTTCCAGCCTTCTCTATAATATAAGATGCTACTTTGTATTTGTGAGAAAGAAAACTGAGTTTTATTTTCTTCTTTTGCTGATTTTTCCTCTTATTTCCATCAGGGACATCTGTAAGAAACATAATTATTTCTCTCTGCAAAAAAAATGTATGTTCAGCAATATATAGCTTTGTTCTGGGACCTCCCCACCCTTCTATGTGCATATGTAATCAGCTCAAACTGAGAGTTAGAGCAATTTCACTGGAAGTCGGGGGGCCTGGGAGGCACTTAACATATAGTAAACTATAATTAACTGTTGTTTACATATATAATATGTTCATAGATTGTGGCTGGTGTGTTACCTGTAAATAAAAGACATAGCCACTCATTGATTTATGAACTACTGTTATGAAACCTCAAGCCTCAATCAAAAGTGATGAGAGATGTGTGTGACTGAAAAACAAGGCTTTATCTGCCTTTTTGATAGAATTAAATATAATGTACAAAACAGGCACTGTGTTGTATTCACGAAGATGTGAAAGCAGCTTTAAGACCGTAAAGTTATCAGGAAAGGGTTTACTGAAGTCACAGAATACAAAGCTCTTCTCTTTTCAGACCCAGAAAGTATAAAAAGCAATCTTTTATACAGTGTATGTTTTTGATTCTGTTGCACGATGGTCTTTATTTATGTTTATGTGAATTTCCTTTAATTGCAGCTCATAAAAAGTCTTAAATAACAGGTTCCCAGAGAGTGAAGTACACTTTGTTGCACATTTATGTGAACAGTCTATTTGTGTAATATGTTCACCCTTTGAGTTCACCTCTCTGGATTGAATGTCAGTTCTTATTATGGGCCAACCGTAATAGAGGGCATGAGCAAGAAAGTTGGACACGTGGTTCTCTGCCCGTGTATGTGTGAGTGTGTGCAGTCAAGATGAATTATTACATAAACCTTCTGCAGCTCACCGGGAGTGATTAAATGTGTGTGCGCGCAGGTGCAATGATGAGGTAGAGCAGCGATTTCTACTTATACTCCAGCTCATTTATGCTTAGTCACAGTCTTTGAAGGGGTACATTGGCCAATATACAGTTAGAACCCAAATCAGACAATTCCAAGCAAACATGATTGAAAAAGCCAAAGCAACACTCAAAGCAAATGGCTGGCACAGCTTTAGTCTGTTCTTAACTCCATGACCTTTTGCTTAATATGCCATATGCCAGTGAACTTAGCTAATTTGTTTCTCAAATCCTTTCTGTTGTGCCCACCATGTTAGCGTTGGCTGCAGTTGGCAGAGCTAAAACGTTGGCTGTGATTTGAGAGTCCCGCTTTGGGGGAGAACATAAACAGTGAGGGAGGCGTGATGTTTTGCAATCTAAAGGGAAACTCTACTGATCTGATCTCGCTCCAGGTGTAGGACCGTATGAATTTATATGTGAAAAAACAAAACAAATCTGATAAGCCTCTGTTGTTTTTTTTTTTTTTCGCTATTCTAAAAAACATAAAACACAAAAGTGCTGCAGAAAGTTCACCAGACCTTGTGACTGTAAGCTTGATGTTATTTCTGTGATTTTAACAACATATGCATAGTGCATGTTAACAACTTCACCCTTACATGTCATGTATGGAGATATTTTGCATTTCTAGGGGAATTAGACACCACAACTAAACTGGGAAACACAATTTTTACCAATCTGTGATTACAATGGACAACATGATCATAGCATCTAAAGTGTCTAAGATGCACAACGACAAACTAACACCCAGACCGACATCCAGTCCAGAGTACAATAGCAAAACAGAATCGAGAAGTCCTTCAGACAATCTAAGGTTACCAAATTCAGAAATACAGCTGGCACCAACAGCTTGTATTTGTTTGTGAGAACTCACGTTTTCCCCCCCATTATTTTAGCATGGCAGAGAAGTTTAAATATGGCAGTACCCATCATCCAATGAGAAGACGCCAGTCAGTCTGTTGAGGTATTGCAAATTTAAATCATATTTTCTACTACTACAGGAATAATTGCCTTTCCTTCTCGGCCCAGGGCATCTGAAACGGCACCCCCAACTTTTCAACTCAATTTTGTGTCCAGCCTGACTTGGGTCTCACAGATCCACCATAACAGAAACTTCCTAATTTATCTATCAAAAACCTCTGAGCCATCCTTGGATTGCTGCCTTTTGTTTGTTTTTAACTTATATCTGTAATCTGGCACACTGTTTACATCTGGAAGTCTCAGTCGACATCTGTACAACATCTGGATCTTGCCACCAACAACCTACATGCCTCATGGCCTGCAACATCACAGCTTGAGTCAGTGCAGGGATTATTATGTTTTGGGGCCTGATAATTAAAATTTTCAGATTGTTTCCTTTTACACTATTATGTCACTTTCTGTGGCAGAAATGCAGCCGGCTGTAGACGGTAAGCACTGTCCTGCAGCTAAATAGCGTTATAGGTGTGCTGACATATGTGTGCGCTCATTTTGTCCTTACTCATCTGTAAAATTAAACACATTGATTTATCTCTACAATTATCACTGTAACTCACAGAGGCACGGGCAGTTTATGACGCCAAGCACTTTTCTGTCATACTGTGTTTATTTACAGCATGCATTTGCATGGAAAGCTTACAGTACATTATATCTGCATTACCACTTATTTAGTCCTGTTTATTTACAAAACCTGTGCTTATTCTTCATTAACAGATTTAGGTAAGTGCTTTGCTTTGTTGTTATATCTGTGTGTTTGTGTGTTTGTCTGAAGATACTGTGGTTGTCTGAGTGAATAGGCTTATGAATTGTCTTTAATCCGATCTTTGTTGAAGCATTTTCATTCTTTATACACAGACACACACACACACACACACACACGCTCAGACAGCCCTCTGCAGTCTGATGAGACCTGTGCTGTTCTGTGAAGACTAATTTCCATGTACCAACTGTTTCTTTTCATTTAGCCAACAATGAGCCTAGGGATGGTAAGCAAAAGACTCGACACAATACATGCCAGCTTGCTTGTGCTTTCCGTGTTTGTGCTTGCTTTGTGTCAGTCACTTTTTGCGTTAGTGGACATGGGTATCAGATGAAAAAACGCTTCCTCACTGAAGCCTGGGATTGCTCTGGTGTTGCTTAAAGCTTCAGTATTTTCACTCAGCGGACGGAGACATTATGAAGATGCAGTTTTGTTGCAGACATATAGCCACGGTGATTTCTGGACATTGAACATAACAACGACACTAATCATGATGAGAATAACTTTATTTATGGAGTAAACAAAAGTGACAAAGTGCCCCACAGCAGACAGATAAAGGAACCTAAATCAAAAGGAAGAAATCAATGCAAAGGCGCAGCTTAAAAGCAATTCAAGGCACGGCAAATTCAACTGATAGACTGTCAGATGAAACATGTTGATGGTAAAATGAGTAAATAAATACAAATATAGCAGATAACAAAAAAGCTTCTGACAATGTCTTGTGAAAAAAAGTCTTTCAAAAGGATTCAGAGAACAGTGGTTAGATTGCTTCCACCAAAGCATCCAAGCAAACGTCTGTTTTAAAAGTGAAATGATGAGATCTGATTGGTAAAAAGCGATATATCCTGCCTGTGTTTCTGCTGGATATATGCCATCTGTGTGTGTGACATGGCCTAATTATTACTAGTGCTGAAGAGTGTTACACTGCACTGATTACTGTTTACAGCCATAATGATTTTTCTGTTGTTCATGTCTTTACATAATGAGGTCCTCTAGTTTCATTATGTTTTCATACACTTAATAAGTAATAATAATAATATGTACTGTACAATTAGGATTATAGTAGTATACCATGGGTAGTACTTGACTTTATAGAACTAGAGAAATCCCGACTACTCTCTTATCTTTTCCTCCAAGTGTGAAATGTGGAAACCAAGTATCTGTTGATTCTTTAGTCAGTGTCAGTGCTCACCTGACATTACACTGCAAACTACATACTAGGCATTTCAGTAATTAAATTAACACAGTGAATGAAGTTTTCAATAACCAGTGAATTAAGTTGGTCAGAATATTCATTTTAATGGGTTTCACTAAATCATCTTTTATGATCTGACACAAAACTATTATTAAACGGAATCTAGTACTATATTTTTTTTAACCCTCTTTAACATGTGTATATATTGTTACAATAACAATATTGTTACAATAATGCTTAGTTTAACATAAGTTTAACATGCACATTAGATATACCTAATGTGGGTATCTCAGACACATGGTGCTCACTATGTCAAAAGAAGCCCCACCCACCTGCCGTATATACCTCTAATTTATGAGGCCAATCAGAAATAAGATAGCTTAAGGGCATACAGTAAATGAAATATGGGGAAAGACCAAGGCCCAGTATAAGACACTGGGAGGGAATAATTATTTCCTGCTGAATTTTTAAATTTGCTCACTTCCAAAGAAATTAAAGTGAAATAAGTATTTTGATCCCCCCAAAAACATCACTTAGTACTTTGTCTTGTCTTGTCACAGGGTTTCATCTCAGGAGGGATTTGGACGTACTCCTCTTTACAGTAACTGCTTCCTTTAGGTTTCCTGACTGCCACTTGGAAACTAAAAACCTCAGCTCCCTCTGCAGATTTCTAAAGGACTGTGGGCTGGAGAGCTAATGTGCTTTGTCTTTAGCCACTCCTTTGTTACCTTGGTTTTGTCTCACTGCCATGCTATAAAAACCATACATGATGCATTTTCAGTGTTCTGGGAGGAAAGAAAGTTCTCATCCAAAATTCATCCATCTAGTTGTCTTTTAGCCTTAGCAAAAACACCCCCCCAAAGCATAATGTTTCCACCTCTGTACTTGACTATGGGGATGATGTTCTAATCGCAGCGCTTCCTCTCATACCTTCTCTGAATCATTTAAATGTTCACTGGCAAACTTAAGACAATTAATGTTAAAATAATATCCACGAATGCTAAGACCATGTTTTTAACAGGAGAATGTAGCAGTTGTAGTTTATTAAACTCTATAGAAAAGATTAGGAAATTATGAGGAAATAAGAACCCCATACAATCCATATTATTTATACTGTGTAATCCTTTACAAACAGTTAAAAAAATCTATAAGTTGTATTTTAGAGTCTAAAAGCAATGCATGGTTAAATAGTGTTGCTTGGCATAATTTAAAACTCCCAGTGCCAAAGTACCACAGTGTCTAGAGTCAATTTCATTTAGAAGCCCCATCCCAAACACAGCCAGCATCCAGTGCAACAGCGTAAGAGTGTAAACATTCGAAAGTGTCCCCTGAGCCCTATCCCAGAATCAGTTTTACCCACTTAGCATTCCAATGGAAACCTTTTAAATCACGCTGAACATCTGAACTTGGATCTGTCCTCAGGGGTACTTTTTGATTAAAAGATCAAATTAACTGAGCCCATAAAAGCAGAGAGAGGAAGAGGCGCCAACAGTATGGCTCTCTGAATTTATGGAAGCGCATGACCTTATCTGACTTGTGACCCTGGATCCATTCTCTCAGCAACTGGTCTCGTCCAATGGATGTCCAGTCAGGGTCCTACTCACTCTATCTGATTGGTGATTCGATGTACCTTTGGCTTATTGCTTGTGTATGAACCTTTTTTCTTGTTAAATCTGCAGGATGTCTGACTCAGACAGTTTATGTAGATTGTGTACTGTACCTCAGAACAGTTGAAGTGATTTTAGGACAGTTGTTGAAGAAATAACTCATTAACAGTTGTACTTTTCTTAAAAAAAAAGAGGAAAAAATGTTAATTAGACTCTGAGAAAGAAATCTGTGTTCTTTTGAAGTGTGAGAGCACAATGATTTAATGTGTGAGTGTTCATCACTTGAAGTCAAGGTGATCACTGGGCCAATTAACGCTTGTGTTTAATGGGACAACACAAATACTGTACAGACTGACGTGTTCCTCACTTTCTCTTTTTTCCCCTTCCGATGCAGAGTTGCCTCCTGATGGTAAGAGAAGTGAATATGTTAGCATTTCTATAAAGCATATCAACTGACAAGCAAACACCTTACAAAGGTTACATCAATTTACTTGCAAAAGAAACAAGCGAGTAGATAAAAGAGCAGCTCATTTTTTATTGCCATGATAAGACTGTACAGCTTCAGCTTATGTTCTGTCGGGGTGGCAGATGATTGCAGAGAGTCAATAGTAATATGATGTCTTCAGGGGTGATCTGAGGAGTTTCTATATTCCCTGTGGGCCAGCCTGCTCCTTGGTCGCTTGTCATTTGTCAGAGGGTCCCAAATGGCTTATGCAGTGTAACAACAAAGGCATAATGCAAACAAGCTGCCTTGTGGAGAGACTGTTGCTCAGTTTCAGCACTAAATAACCGTGCAAAGACAGAATTTAGTGGGTTGAGGCTTTGTGTCCTTGAACTAAATTTCAGAATTTTCCCAAATGACTTTCAAATAGGCACTTAGAAGATGATTTGGGGGTTTGCTTGGTCGCCTGGTTGCCTTTATTTATCTAAAATCTATATGCTGTGCCCAGATAACATTTTCTTGTTTAAATTCATACTTTAGTTACTCTCTTCATTCCACTCCCGTCACAGATCATCTTCCAGGGGAGGGTCCTCAGCTGTCTGAGCCGACCGGCCTGTTTGTGCTGAAGCCAGAGAGTGTTACAGCAACAAAAGGTCTGGCAAAAATCATTGGCCATAAAAACTGAGTTATATCTGAAATGAGAGGAATGGCCACTTAGTGCTAAATTCCAGTTGTTACACACACAGTTTAATTAATTACTGCATTTAATCTTCGTGCTTGGCAGGCAAGGACATCACGTTTGTGGCTAAAGTGGACTCCTCAAACCTGATAAAGAAACCGGTGATGAAATGGCTGAAGGGGAAGTGGCTTGACCTGGGTAGCAAAGCTGGAAAGCATCTTCAGTTTAAAGAGTCCTATGACAGAAACACCAAGGTACGCATTTATACTCTCTGTTTTAAATATAACTTTTGTGAATGTATTAATAAAGAGACAGTAATATCAACGGGACCATAGCCTCATGAATATTATAGCAAATCTTTCAGTTGATTGACTGACCACTTTATTGTAGACCAAAATATCTGAGTATGTTATGGTATTTCGTACAGCACTATGGACAGAAATATTGGGCTACATAAATGTTACATGGTCTACATAAAAGTCTCATGGCATGAGAATTCCATTGCACAGTTTTGGTACTGATATTAATGCCAGAGGAGATTTGGAACTTGGCTATTATTGAGTCAGCAGAGCCGTGTTGACTATGTGACTCATCATTTGGTGACCCTGCTCAGTAACTTTACACAGTCTGCCATTTAATGGCTGAGTTGCTGTGGTTCCTAAATGCTTCCGCTTTGTAATAATACCACTTACAGCTCTCAGGGAATATGTAGGAGGGAAGAAATGTCTGGACCCAACGTCTTGCAATGGTTGCAGTTCAGTAAGCTATACAGAAGACGCATACTTTCACAAATGTTTATAATGACATACTGCATGGCTGTGTGTTTCATTTCATGCACAAATGGGATTGAAAACATGTATATTAAAAAAATTAATACGAGGAGGTCGGGGAGAAAGGGGGGAATAAATTAATAGACTACAAATAGAAATGCAAAATGTATCTCCAACTGCTGCACCTACCAACTATTCACTAAGTGGTTGTGAAACTGAAGCGTCAGATGCAAAATGGAAACAGAGAAGTCAAAGTTGCACTTTTTGAAACATGTTGGTTTCAGTGGTAAGGAGCAACTTTTACTTTGACAGTCAAAGGTTTCCTTTTACAGTATGTATTGCATTTTTGCAAAATTCACTATCACTCAGTGGTTAGTTTGCAGTTGTTTACAGAGCAGTCACTGTTCTGTGAAATCTGCTACAAACCAAAACAATCACAAGGAGGTTTTTGGTGAAACTACAGCCAACAAACCTTCAGCAACCAGTTGGCAACATGTTGGCGAATACATGTTTTTCATTAGTGACCTGCATTGTAAGTTTCAGGCATAAAATGTGAAAGTGCTAATGGCTAATGTCAGTTCTTAAATATCCTGACTGCATGCAAGTCAGCCTGCTCATTGCTTTGTCTCAGATTCTTGGTGGTTTTTAAAAAAAAATGGGATAAAACTTTGTGTAAAACTGACAGTTTTAACGAAAGATCCAAACTTTGTAACTGAACTCAGCTCAGCTGTTTATACTGATCAACCAAGTGGTAGCAAATAGTAATGTGCTTCAATATTTATTCACTTTTTGAATCCTGTGAAATCACATTTATTCCACCACGGCACAAAAAGCTTCTCGTGTAAAACATATTGAATCTTTTGGATTATACTACTGCAAACAAAGGCACGAAGGCATGCCTGTGCAAAATCCTGCCAACATTAATAGCAAATTGCAGTAATGAACAACTGAAAATAAAACTTGCAATTAATAGATTTAATGCTTTCCAGATCACACCCACAAAGTTTTGTTTATTTCAGTCAATATTTGTAAAACTCACAAAAATCAACAGCATAAAAGCTGGTAGAAATAATCTGTTTACTTACCATTTAATGACATTTCTTCCACGACATCTTTGTGTAGAAAACGGAGGACATGATGAACACGTAATCAAAGTCTAGTGAGTGACTAGCTAACCGAGCAACATTTCAAGGCATCAGTGTCACCCTGCTCGCTTTATCCATACTTCGAGCATGTGTTGGTCAGCACGTACGTGCGTGTACGTTTGAGATTTTGCGTTTGGGTGTTCATTGAATTGTGTGTGTTCCTAGCATATCATCCCCCCTCTCTCTCTCTGTCAGATCTACACTTACGAGATGAGCATCATCAAAGTAGTGGATGGAGACGCAGGTGGCTACCGCTGCGAGGTCACCTCCAAAGACAAGTGCGACAGCTGCACATTCGAAGTCTCTGTGCAGGGTAGGTCTGGAGACAGACACTTAATTACATTATTGTCATCTTCCATTCGGCGTATCCACCATTACTATGTAACTAGCTTTGTCAGGCAATAACTCAGTGAGTGCGATATACATTAGGTCCTATCATTTAGTGGCCTAGTGAGGTCATCAGTCCATTATTCCTTTGCTGCTCAAGCCTGCTGAGTAATGAATTAACCTAGCTGAGCTCTCACCAGCCTTTCTCCTTCTGTCTGGTTTCAGCTGCACAAGAGGACCAGCAGGACAACATCTTGGAGGCATTTAAGCGATCGTGAGTGTCAGTGTCGGCGTGGGTCTACTCTACATGTCACCCATCACACTGTCTCGCATATGCTCCTCTGTAGATCGCTGCCTCTGGGCATCTGTCAGTCTCAACCAGCGTCTCTGCCCGTGTGCCTGTCTATCCCTCGGTTGTAGTCGACTTTGTACGAGTCACTCAGTCTGCCATCTATCTCTTTCTGTCACGTCTCAGTGCATATGCTGCCTTGGTGTTTTGCTTCACCTGGACTCCCTCGTGGTTTAGGATCTTATGTATTTCGTCACATGTCTCAGTAACAGTCTCCGAAGGGAGTATTTCTTTTTGTGTGTATGTGTAACTGTTTCTCTCACTGTCTATTTCCGTCTCTGCTTCTGGCCTGTGTGAAGTTGGTCTATGCTAATGTATCCTGCGAATGTGTAGTCTTCTTTATTTTTTGAAAAATGAGATTTCAGCTGTTCTCAGCCTGTAAATTGTACATATGTACACGTGCCTTGTGCTGGTAAATCAGCTGACACCTTTGCACCGACACCTTGAGTCGCCCTTTTTTGTAATCTGTGATCAAAAATATAATTTCCCTCCCTCATTAGAGCATGAGTAAAAACGGGCAGGTAAGATGAAAAAGGCAACATGCAAAAAGACAGCATCATATTGTGGTTTAGACAGGATGTCGGTGCGTTTATTTGCAGAGTGCTGATAGGAGGGAACAAGAGGGTGAAGGAGAGAGAAGGTTAGTGAGATAAATGAAAAGTGAAAAGTTGGTTAAAACTCAAATATGTTGCTGGAAGAAAACAGCGTATGAGTGCGTTAAACAACTTGTTATGTGGAAGTCTTGCAGCTTAGCTTCTGTAAAATAAGAATAGAGGATCCTGTTTCCCACAGGAGGATCATTTGTGCTTCTCTCATTAACACAAGGTCTGCATGCATTAAGATACACAATCCTCTTCTCTTAATTTCTGGAGTTTTATTAACACCAGATTTTCGTGTCTGCCTGAATTAGCACAAGCTCCTCATTGTGTGCCCCAGGCATATCAGGCTATTTTTTTCTTTGTGTTGCGTCTTCACTGACTGGTCGGCCAGCTGAGAGGGCTTCAAAGGGAGACAGAAAATACACACTGTATGTTTACACAGCAGTGTTTCACCAGCATTTAAAAGCATTTCTAGGTAGAATTCTCATTATACCACTATGTTTATTCTTATCAGTGAAATGCGTACGGGCATATCTGCATTTGTTAGATAGTATGCCATGGCACTACTGCACAGAGATGAAGGTCAAAATAACAGATTCAGATGCACCACACATCTAAATTCAAAGAATTCCTCTGACACCAGATTTTATTTTGATTTATTTCTTAGTGGGCCGCGATAGGTGGTGATAACGAATCTCATTACTGCACGCTAAATCAAGGAAAAATAAAATACTGTTGTTACTAGCTGTGGAGGTCAAATACACATAATGTGTTTTTTTTTTAATATACTGTAAATAAAAGATGGTTCTAGCGACCATTGCTCTGGTTTGTGGACTACAGTTTTAGAGCTTAGCGGTAGCACGTAGCCACGTTGGTTGTTACAGTGCATCTGTTATCTTTCTTTATTTTAGAACAAGTTTAAAACAAAATCTACTTACCAGAAAAACTGAGCAAGCATCGTCTCAGAATATATTTTAGTACAAATTAACCAAACAAGCTAATGGTCCATTTAAAACCAAACACACTAAATGCATAGAATAGCACCACTATATCTTTTTGACTATAAATTATGTCCTTTTTACAAAATGAGCTTCATCCTTTAATAGAAAATACTTAAACCAGCAATTGAGATGAACTAAACAGGAAAATGTTCCCTGAACTACATCTGAATAGGTTCATTTTCTCATAGGTTTTTCTACATTACAAGTTATGAAACCAGAGAAGTTCCCTTCAGCTGCCATCAAAAAGAATGCATAATAATGACGCTTTGCTGTGTCTTTTATCTTTTTTATACAGTCTATTAGTGTTTAGCACTGCTTTTTCATTCATAATTTGAATTTATAGTGTGAATCACTGTTTGCCATACCACACAATAATATGCATTTTACACATTAACAGGTATCATTCATCGTTCTTTGCACTCATTCCACATACTCAGATACTGAAGCAGAGCTCTTCACCTCTGTTTTCATCTAAACTTTCAGTCTAGTTTTTCACATAACTTGACTTTTGTGTAGAGAGAAGCTCTCTGAAGTGCTCAAGCAGATTGAGATTCTGCATTTGCTGTGACCACAGCACCGCAGACATCGCTTTCACTCTCATCGTTTTTATCATTTGGTGGTCATGTGTGCCTGGTGATCGACGACAATACCACCCAGCGAGAATTTACCTCCATTAGGATGGCAAGGATAACACGGATGGATGTTATCCTTGGATGAACTGTTCATCCATAGGACGAGCATTATCACTCAGAATGGCTCTGAATTTACTGGCATTTATCTCTGAGGGGTTCAATGAGCCTCAACAATGCCAGGAAAACACACTCCACGCTGTAAAGGAGCTGCCAAAACCATTCACGGTGGAAAACAAGCAGCACTCGATCCTGTAGACATTTATTGGTGTGTGCCACACACAGTGCTTGTCACCTTGTTGAGCACGAGACAGCGACTGATTATGCCACAGCACATGACATTTTCACCATCACTTTATACTTGCAAATGTGCATCTGAAGGGTAATAAAGGGTTTTATGCATGGTTACAGATGCATAATTCCCCCTACTTGTATCAACAAAATATTTTGCATGCGACTGTCGCTTTTTGAGTATCTTTTTCCTTTCACTATGCTTATGTCTCATTCTTACGTATACTGTCTTTAACCACATCTTGACCAAAGATAATCTGATTACTTTTGTCAAGTAATGAGTAAAGTAAGGGATTACTATTGCAAAAAAGTAATTCGATTACTGTTACTTTCCTGTAAGCACTCTGCGTTACTGCGATACTAAACCGTGATTTTGTTTGTGAGAGTCTCTCATGACAATGACGTGCGAGTGTGCAACATCCGTGGCAGCAACAGACGTGTGTAGATCAACAATGGATAATATGGAATGTGGGAGAGAGTACGACCATGCAGCGTTTAAAGCTTGAAAGTACTGACATTAGCGTCCACTGTACACTCTGTGTGGGAAGAAAACTTCTTTCTACAGGGAAAAATTAAATGTGGCTCCTAGCACGCTGCCACAGGAAGGTGAAATTCACAGAGCGACCGAACGCGATAGAAGTGACCAAATAGTCAGGTTTACATGTAAAGTCATCATACATAGAATAAGGGAGCCAAGAGCTACATGGAGTTCTGTACAATCTGCCTTCCTTTTACAACCAGAGATGTTGCCCCCTGCTGGCCATGTGAAAGAATGCAGATTTAACAGACTGGTTTCACTTTACATTTCCGATTCCCTCCGGAGGCTTTGCATTTAGTCAAGCTGCTTCTGTAAATAACAATTTTAAGGACTTGACTGACTGATTCACTCCACTGTCTTGTGGTACAAATTGGTACTACACAAAAGTACAGCCTAGTCATACTATAAAGATTGTGCTTTAAAAAAAACACTTAGGTGGGTTGCACAGTTATAGCTCTTTTTTCCATGCTCAAATTGTATTGATAGCTAAATAACTTTTTAAAATGTGGAATTTTGAAACACAGAATTTGCAATAAGTAATGTTAATGTTGGTCCAAATCTGCTGGACATCTGTGATATGTCACATGGTCCTCTGTTTGTGGCTTTTGTGTACTTCAGAGACCTAACAGATCAAGAGTCTTATATAAACAGACTTTTATTTTATTACATGCTGCTTGTCTGTTATGATTCTTCTGTCAGTCAAGTTTAGGGCATGATCAGAGCTTATGATTCACTCTATGTTCTCACTGCCCCCATTTTCTTTTTTGCATCATTCTGAATGCAGGATGGTAAAAGGGTAAGTGTTAACCACAGGCACAAATTTGTTAGAAGTTTACTGTTCGACCATCTTCAGTATTATTGCGTATTAGAATTTCCTATGTGTAATATGGAATAAAAAAGGGTATATTATTGAATGTAAATACATTATTAATGTCTTTTTGCCACCTAATTTACAAATAAAGTAAAAAGCACAGGATAAAAAGAAATAAATAATAATCCCAGAATTGAATTTCTTTTAATTCCAGTGGAGATGCAGATGAGGATGCTGGAGAGCTAGACTTCAGTGCACTGCTCAAGAAAAGGCAAGATAATTTACATTTTCAGAGAAGCATCTTCCATCTATATGTGTCTTAAACTTGGTTTGCACTCATTAACTCATTCACAATCAATCTTAAACACCACCAGGCAGAAGAAGGAGAGGAAGGAGGAACCAGAAGTGGATGTATGGGAAATCCTAAAGAAAGCTAAGCCCTGCGACTATGAGAAGATTGCCTTTCAATACGGCATCACAGACCTGAGGGGTATGCTGACGAGGCTGAAGAAGATGAAGGCTGAGTCCAAAAAGAGTGATGGTACGGGACGGAGTTATGAGGCAAAAGCAGAGTTTGTGCTTTGAATGAGATAACAGGCAGCAGGCTGTAAATACCAGCAGCATATAAAGGCCAGCGTTTTAAGGAGGAGCAGTTTTGCTACTGGAACGACAGGTGGAATATGTGTTAGCATATGCCTGCTGTTGGTTGGCACAGGTATTATTTGGCCCTTAGAGCCTTTGTCTTTACAGCTTTCCTGAAGAAGCTGGATCCAGCATACACAGTGGACAAGGGCGAGAAGATCCATCTCACAGTGGAAGTGGCTGACCCCAACGTTCCAGTCAAATGGTTCAAAAATGGACAGGAAATCAAACCATCAGCTAAGTGAGCAACTATCCTGCATTTGTGCCAGTTTTTGTATTTAGATTCACATTTCTGTCATCTATGATTATGTGAAGAAGAAAGTTTTCATAGGAGTCTATGTAATGAAAAACTAAGTACACCCTTTCTGCAGCATATCAGGACAAACCCCTCATATCAACTGTCAACATGGTGATGATTTGGGCTTGTTTTGCAGCCACAGGACCTGAGCACCTTTTAGTTTTTGAGTCAACCATGAAGTTTTCCGTATACCAAAGCATTTCAGAATCGAGTGTGAAGCCATCTGTCTGACAGCTAAAGCTGGGTCATTCAGCAGGACAAGGACTGCACCAAACTGAAGCAACACTGTAAAGAACAGTGGACCAAAATAATGATGTGAGAGGAAGATGAAGTGATATAGAACATGCATACTTCAGGTTTTTGCTGTTTAATACATGTCTACAACCTAATTATGGGGTGTACTTAGTTTTTACGGACTACACAGAGTCCTGTGAAAACACATAACTGTGGCAACTGTAAGTCTAACTCTAACTCACATCTAACTCAGAAAAGTGCTGTGTGCAATTCAACACCATGTCTTAGGATAGACCTGTTATCGTTCTGTCTTCATCCTACAGGTCTTGTGTTGTATCTGATGTAGCTCCTTGTTCTCTTGACGCTGGTTTCACTAATATGGCTGAGCATCTAGAATGACTTACTGCTCCCGTAGCAGGATAACTGGTTTTAGGGCAATCCACCATTTTGGTGATGACTTTCCCAAGAAGACAAACTTTTGACAGTATGACGCCAGTTAAGGTCAGCCCCATGCACATAAACAAACTCGTGGGCAGATGAATATGCTAGTGATTAGATCAGCTGGCAGGATGTCCCAGATTTGTCAGAGTTCTCATTTCCCTGCATCTCAACAGAGGTTAAGAGTGCAAAGTTTGCATTGCAGCCACAATAGTCACTTTAAGGGGAGATATAACATCTATAAATAAAACATAATTGTCCTTTAAATAGTTTAGCTTAGCTTGATTGCTCTCATTATGTCACTAACATTATAGCAATAACAACTTGATCAACTGGAGCAACTGCAAGAGTTGCAGAGTACATTTCAAGCAGTTCAGCAAGCACATCCTTCCTCAAGCAAAACACGGTGCAGGGAGTGTAAACGGTTAATTCAAAATCCTTTAGCTCTGACTGGGATGTCTGACAGAATACATATGTTACTTTTTGAGCCTCTTTAGCCTGCTGAGCTTTATCCAGTGTCTGCGTCGCTCTCCTCTGTGCTCTTTTCCCTCCTTCTTCAAAGGCTACTTGTGGTCTTTCATTGAAGAGGCTACAGCTGTTTCAAGTGCTATGTTTTCAATAGCTCCACCATCTGCTATTTCATGAATCTTCATGCTGTTATTGGAAAGTAAGGCGGCCCTCTTCCTGTTATGATTAAGACAGTTACATCGGGAGAAGCGACTTTTATTTTGGCCTGAGCAGAGTCTCCCTGGAGGTCTCTCCAGGCTGTGGGCTGTGACCATTCAGCTCTAACAAATCAAATGTTTTAGGTTAGTGACTAAAAGCCATTGGGATCAGGGTATTACAGCCCTGCTCTTTTTTGTTGTTGCTTTATTTCACTCCTACTACTGCTGTGGATAAAGCATAAAACCAAAACCAAGCCAAAAACTCATTTGACATAATACATATAAAAAGAGATTATCTTATTATGGCCAGCTGAGATTCACTATTTTACCGCTCAGTGTTACACCATAGAAAAGAAATTTAATTTTGTTTTGTGTTTTCCTTCACTGATAGCAGCTTAAAACATTGTTTATTAGGTAAAGTGATTTTTCTTGAAGGCTGAGTTGTCTTTTTGTTTCATTTAATTTACCAAAGCCTCAGAGATGAGGAAAAAATGCCATACTGATTCAATTTAGTCTATCTGCACTTCTTTAATTTACTCTTCTATTAAAAAATACCATAATTTAAGATTGCAGGACGCTGTACATGACATAATGATACCTTCAAGAACTAATGTCGTGGAATAACAGACATTTACTGAAAGTTGGTTCGCAGGTGTTGGTGAAAAAAAGTATGAAAAGACGTCTGTAGCTACAGAGGGAGTGTTGTGAAGTATGGATAAATAACACATCACCCATATGGAAAAGATATATATAAATCTTATAAAGTTTGTATCTGTCTTGTGTGAAACTTGTATGAAAAGCATACAAGAGTGAAAACAGATAAAAGATTCCTTGAAAAATTATATAAATGAAACTTGTATGTTTTGGATGCTTCCTAAAACAATATATGAAAGTATTGAGAAAGTGGCCACTTTCATGAGTAAATCATATAAGCCTTATATGATTCATTATATGAAGCAAGCCAAATCTGATGCGAGTCTTTTATAAGTTTTTTCTGTTTCTTTTCCATATGGGCAATGAAAGACCACCCGTGATGCTAGTTGAGTCAGCTGGAGCTGCAGAGTTAAACAGAGTTAGGTGCATTGTGGGTAACATGGGCATAGGAAGTTCTGCAAACAGACTGTATTTTAAAGATGGCTGTACCTACAATTATGTGGCTTGTTAGATTGCGTACTTGCAATTTAAAGTTTCATCTGTCATCAGTTGAGGACAATATCTGGACAGTGCATCGGTGCAAAGTGCATCTATTGTATGTATGGATGCATTGTACAGTCGTATATACCTGCTAGTTATTAGAATAACATACAAATACTAGAATTTTACTCAAAATAACTAAAACACAGACGTCTTGGGCTGCAGAATTAATTACACTATAAGTCATGCTAGTTGTCTGATGTTTTCTTTAAAAATGTTCCTCTTAACCAGCATTGAGTGGTCCAATTCAGATGACCCCATATGTGTAGGATTTTGCAGTAACAAAAAGAAAGAACTGTCTTTTAAGAGAAGAAAGCCTCAGATTGGGACAACCACCTGCTTTGACTGTTTGGATGAAGGGAAAGAGAAGAGAGCATAAAGAGATTATGCTAAAACATTCATTATGGGAGAGAGAAGGCAAATGCTCGAGCCTACAGCGCCATAACTGAATGATAGTTCAGAGTCACCTGATCCAGCCCTAACTATAAGCTTTATCAAAAAAGGAAGTTTTAAACTCAATCCTAAAGAATTTATGTTTCCCAAATCAAAATGGAGAGCTAGCTCCACAGGAGAGGTGCCTGATAGCTGAAGGCTTCGCCTCCCATTATATGAGACAGTATTGGTGTCCACCTATGAGTCAAAGTGGACTCTTCCTTAATAACGAAAACTTCGAGTGTTTAAGAGTTTAACTGAGCGAGTCATACAAAATCACCCCCTGAAATAGCCATACAGATGCAAACATTTTATTTTATTTTGTTATTTGATTTAATTAATTTTATTATCATAAGCATATTAGTTTGATTCCTGAAATCGAGTTATTCAAAAGGGAGTCTGTGGAGAATGACTAAGCAGCAAGGGCTGAAAATTAAATCACAGCAAAACTGCTACAAGCTGCAATTCCACTTGAGGTTGGCTTTAAAAACCAGTGTTAAAATGCCAAACTCAACACCAATAAAAACCACCCTCACAGCTCGGTAAATAAACAATTGTTGGCATTATGGAAAGTTTGTCCCTTTATAACAATACTATGGTAGTGAACTTTCATCTTCTTAGATACTGGTAAGCTTTAAGGTTTGGGAGCATTTGATCGAGGGTAGCTGTTTTATAGCTATCATCTGAAAATTCAGTTCACTCCATGTTTAAGCGGTTGGTTCCTTCTGGAGGAGGTGTATTGAGGTTATGAGACAAATTGTGGTGTGGTACAGATCATCCAAGCCATTTGAGCTCAAGTTTGGATGAGTGACTAACTTACAAAAGCTTGCTAACATTAGTATTAGCTGAGTTAGCACTCATATATTAATCTGCCATAGCCAGTGTATGCTGTAGAGACTAAAATTATTCTAAATACGAGGCTGTAACCATGGTTATTTTTGCTGTGAAGTAAGGTATTATAGCTTTGGAGTCTATGAGGATTTACTCAAGTTTTTGGCATGGTCACATTTGCTTTAGTTTTTAGGTTGCGTGGTTGCCTGTTAGTTTCGCCAATGAGTGTAACAGCATTAGAAGGTACAAAAAGAAGCAATGGGGAGTTTATTACAACCTCTACTACTGATTATAATAATCACATTATACGCTGCTCAAAAAACAAGCAGAGGGGCTTATTAATCAGTTTCAGCTACTTTGGCAATAATGAAATTAACAACAGTTGTAGTAGAGGGGAGACAATGAGACAACCCTCAAAACAGGCAATGTTTTACATGTGGAGGCCACTGACATTTTTTCCTCACTAATTTTTCACAAGTTTGGTGGTGGATCAGTGATGGTGTAGGGAGGCATATCCATGGAGGATCCTGGAGGATGAAGGACTTTATACCACTGATTGCCCCCCTCACAAAACACCCCTGGGACATTGTGTTTTAATCCATCAGACAACACCAGGTTGCGCCTCAGACTGTCCAGGAGCTCGGTGATGCCCTGGTCCAGATTTGGGAGGAGATCCCCCAGGACACCATCTGTTGTCTCATTAGGAGCATTCCCCAACATTGTCAGGCATACATACAAGCAAGGGGGGCATACAGACTACTGAGTTACATTTGGTATTGCTTCATAAAAGTCTGATGGGATATTGTCGTCACCTTGCCGAGTGGCGGGCTGGCGGTGCAGACATGCAAGCTTGTGAATGCAAGAATTCAAGAATGAAGTGACGTAGTGGTTTGAAATGAATAATGCAGTTGTAGCTACTAAAAATCTCAGATGAGTTTGGGTCTCAGTGACCTCCACCTCAAGGTCAAGGTCAGAGGTCAGGTTTTCTGAAACTGCTGTGAGGGGTAGAAATCGTAGCCGACAGTATTTTTCACTTTGATTTTTGGGGTACTTTTCAATTCAGCCCTCTGCCGTGTGATCATTTTTATTTCCATCAAATGATGTGGCATCATTTTATTCCTAACGCGTCACTGAGTGTTCCTAAGTGTTCCTTTATTTGTCTCGAGCAGTATACGAGAATAATAAAGAAATCCAGGGACCATGACATGTTTACATCAATGAAATCAAAATGTAATACATTTTAATCCTGAACACTCTGTTTCTAACATTTCTGCTTAACTGTTAGCCTTACAATAAGTACTTATTCAGTATTCAAATTACACCTACTGTTAATGGACCTTGAGTGGTCTGATGATGTGAATGCTTGCAGCTTGTAACCATGGGAATCTTTCTCATCACTGCCTCATCACTGCGTGTGATGACACTGTGGCATTACTGTAGCTCTCTGATGTTTGGCACCATATTTTCACAGCAAGCTCAACGCATGTGTGTGGGAGCATATATTAAATGTGTGCATTCTTTGTCTCGATCTGTAACTTTGAGTCACTCTGTTGTCTTTAGGCCCCGTTCGCCTGACTGTGGTTGGATTTGCTGAAAGCACTTAATCATTATTCTCTCTCGCTCTCGCTCCCTTTCTTTGTCTCTCACTTCATTTCTTCTTTATCCGACTCGTATAATCTTCCCCCGCCATCCCTCTGCGTCCAGGTATGTGTTTGAGAGCGTGGGCAACAAGCGGACACTCACTATCAATAAGTGCAACCTGTCGGATGACGCAGCATACGAGTGCGTGGTCGGGGAGGAGAAGTGCTTCACGGAGCTTTTTGTCAAAGGTATATGAGTCACTGTCTTTGGAGGAATCCTTTCAGGAGGGAGCGGTTTTTCTGCTTGGTTTAGCAAATGCTGTCATTTGAGTGTTGAGAGGCCTGACAGCTCTGTTCCCTTCATGTCATCTGTGTATTTCAATGCTTTTATTCCACGCAGTAACATGCTGCGCTCTGTTGTCTGCTCACTCATTTTTAATGGGTACGTGGCGAGTGAAATTTTCATGCTTTGTTTATTGTCATGTATCATTGTCGCCGTGCTGTTTGTATTAATGTGCTGACATATTTATCCGAGTTTGACTGATATGTGTGTTTTTGAAGGACAATTTGAATATGGATCAATGGTAATAGTAAAATTGCTAGGCAGATTTGGTGTATGATAGCTCTGTATTCAGGGTTCTTGAAAGAAGCACTTGTATTTTGCGTATTCTTGTAACACGTGTCATTTTTGGTATTAATTGGGCCTATTTGATTGACTAAATGCATGCCACTTTACTGTACATTTTAATGGATGTAACTCAGTCTACTGCTTTTATATTAATCCCATACTTTACTCTCTTACATCATCAGAACCATAAAAATAAGCTCTGTAACCACTCCCAGGCAGCTACAATGTGTCTATGTGTCTTGATCGAAAATGACTCATAAAGGTGTGCTCAGACAGGAAGCATTTTCAGCTCCAGCAAACCAGGTCAAAATCTGACTGTAGAGGTGATTTCTGTAAGCTGGCTAGCAGACATCAGTTTGAGATGTGCTCAGAAACCCATTTTTTTCTGTTGATTTGCTTTAGTTTCATATATTTTCCCTCTGAGCTCTTTATGAAATAACACTAGATTCTTAAAGCGAAATCTTATTTCCTTAAGCTTATTTCCATCTTCAAATTCATATTCTGAATACTATACTGCACTACAATATACAATTTTAAAGTAGATTTGCTTGGCCTTTATAGTATCATTATTGTAAAGATACATCAATTTAGATTGTCTTGGACGATTCCAATTTCCAGTTTTTCCAATATTTTTCTTTTCTCTCTTTCCTTCTAAGAACAGAATATACAAGCAAAAATGAACTTTTCAGATATCACCCAATCAAAGAAAAGTAGCCAATCAGGGACCAGCTGGAACAGTTTAGATAAAACAAGTCATTAGATTAAGTTAATAAATATCTTTTAGTTTATACTTTATTTATCCCATATTTGTTTGTTATAGCATAATAGTGATAATAAATAATAATAATACAGGCTTACATAAATACATAGACTAACAAAATGATAATATAAAGGGATACGAGATAAACAGACATAAAAAAAACAGTTGGAAATGAAGCTTGTGATTATTTATTAAACACTAAACAGATTATGTAACTGAAGAAACCCTTAAAGCTAGATTAAATATTGCTTTTCTTGTCCTAACTGAAACCTGTATAGCTCACTCAGTTGCCTTTTGCGCTACTTCATTGAAGGGGCAAATTCATGATAAACTATTGATTACATGACTTTGTATCTACATCTACATTTCTATTGCTTTCAGTGTCTCACTTTTAGAGTTTCTGGGAGCCTCCAAACATGTCACGGTTATTCCATATCAGAGTACAAATCACATATTGCTTTTTCCAGACTTGAAGGTACGGCCGCTATTACAAACCTACTGGGCTATTTCAGTGTCATACTCTTCTAGCTGTGTCTGTGTATTCCAGAGAGAATATATTCCTCAGCTTTTATGTGGACAACATCAAATTCATTTCACAAAACTTTTGTGATGCCAGTCAGATTTTTACATATTTCTGTGGTGTTGTGAGTGTAGTTCAGAGAGTTCACGGGCACACCAGCTAAGGGGGGAAAGAATTGAAACGTCCGGAGGGGGACTGGAGGCCGACTGTGACAAATAGCTGAGGCTAGCAGAGCATCAAGCATCACAACATGTGGTTACACAATGTGACTCCCACCACCTCAGGAGACTTGAGGTGCCTTCCACCTCCACAAGACGGGTGTGTTTGGTGGGTTTGGATAAGAAATTCAAGAATATACTATGCTGTTATTCAAATACGAAGGAGCGTTTACATGTTTTGTGTGCTATCCTATTTTTCTGCTAACAGGTACTAAAGTAGGGTATCGACCATTCAAAAAGAAGAAAATAATGCTAAAAAACCTGACCTACAGGTACATGTATACTCTATTATGACATAATTAATATCTTTTAATGATAGATTCTTATTGCTGTTAATATTGTAGAAAAGCATTAGTCACTCTCCTCAAGTCCTGCTTCCTTGCAGATGTGTTCATTCGCCACACTTATTTTACTCTCCATTCGTATTTGTGTACTCCGGTGATTTAGATATGTCCAGTTTCCAGTTGGTGATTTACATAAAATAGCGTATCTCTTTAATGACTCACTTCCCATCTGTTGTTTGACTCAAAGCTATTTGTTTTCAGAACCTCCAGTCACCATCACCAAGCTGCTGGATGATGTTCATACAGTGGTGGGTGAGAGGGTGGAGTTTGAAGTGGAAGTGTCTGAGGAAGGCGCTAACGTCATATGGTGAGCTAATTTACCCTTCGGTTCATTTTGAGTTTGAAATTCATCAATGTGCTACTCAGCTAATAAAACTCTGTATAACGGAATAAACAGTCCAATGAGACAATACGTTTCAGGCCTCATAAAGTAATGCTGACGCAGCTCACATAGTGAATTTTTAAAATTTTTACAAGCTAACATAAAAGATACTGGCTAATAGTGTGTAACTGAGGTTTCTGCATAAGGACACTCCAACAGAGTCATGGCAAAAGGACAGATGTCAGTTCCTAAGGCTTTACATTTTAAAATTAAATACTGTAAATACAGTGTGATATGAATAACAGCACATGACATATTACAACATATTATGATCTATTTCTTAAAAGCTAAAATGCAAAATCCAAAATGCATTGTGTGAAAAGCAAAGTACCCAGTGATTCAATTCCTCTTAGGGCGAATGTTTGCAGCAGTAACTTGAAGTAGCTGTTTTCTATATGACTTTATCAGGCTTTCACATCACAGAGTTTTGGCTCACTTTTCAATGTTACTTGAGCTCATTGAGGTTCATTGAGGTTATTGACGGCACAGCGTTTCAATCAGGTTTTCTGTCTTCTGTCCTGTCTTAGTTTTTCAAGTATTGTTTCTGCAGGTCTGCTTAAGTTTGATTAAATAAATGATGACAAAGTGTAATATGTCATGTTTTGCTGTTGTACTGAGGTTGTATTTATATAGTTATATCATTTATATAATTTATTTATTTATATAGCACATTTAATTACAACAGGAATGTTGACCAAAGTGCTGTACAAGAATACAAAATACCTATTAAAATATCTTATAATATTGATAGCAAACATCAAATATGAATTGTCAAATAACTCTCATATTGTATTAAAAGCCAGTAAATACAAATGTGTTTTAAGATAAGATTTAAAAAGATTGGCAGTACAAGCCAGTCTGATGTGTATTTATCTAATTTTACAACCTACTAAGTAATAGGTGGACTTTATTTCTACTGTGACTATACTTTGGCTAACTGCCATCAGCAAATAAGACACTATTTACCAAATGCAATGGTGGAGATTTATCTGTTTTGTCACTTCAGTACTGAAATGGTTTATTATTCCAAGATGGTGTGACGAAAAGCTTTAAAATAAAGATTTATCGGTGCAAAAGGTGTAATGAATAACAAAACCCCCCAAAACCAAAACCTTTATTAGTAAGCATCTATCAATAAGCTCAACCAAATTGTTATATGAAACACTGCTATTAGCTAAACATTTTGCAATTGACTCTAATATCATTGTCTAATAATCTTCTCCACAAAAGAAGAATCTTTGTGGCTTTTATTTTATTTTATTTTATTTTGAGTTTCTGTGTTGTACAAAGCCAGACAGTTTCTAGGCAAAATCTACAAAGATATCTTTTGGGTTTTTGTTTTATTGTTGAAATAATACACAGCAATCAAAGCTGTCTGAGGCAATTAGGGGAAGCCTAGATGGGCTGTTAACTGGGACACTGTCTTCCTTGCTTCCTTCTTGTCTGCACTTTTTTGGACATGGTTATTCCACTCAGAGATTTTTAGAGAGCCAAACTAAAAGATATGAGTATGAATGCATGCATTTTTTTCCTTTGCTATACACAGCTTTTTTTGGTACAGATATTGTACACAAAAAAATCCTCACCTACTGCACAACTTTGTCCCAAAGCCTTTTGACTCCTGAAGGATCTCACTATCTACAACACTGCCAACATCTCAAGTATCAGTCCCTTTTCTCGCGTTCCTGTGCTAAAGTATTTCAGATGTATATATGTGTGTGTGTTTTCTTCACAGGATGAAAGATGGAGTGGAGTTGAATAGAGACACTGCAGGTTCAAAGTACAGGTTAAAGAAAGATGGGAAGAGACATATTTTGATCATAAATGAAGCCACTAAAGAGGATATTGGAACGTATTACGTCTATACCAACGGTGGGGAGTCAAAGGCAGAGCTGGAGGTTGAAGGTATTTGTCCTCCAGTCCACCAGTGCTTGAAAACTTGCTATCCAGGCTAACCGGGCTTATTGACAACAAACGGGGATCATGAAAAGCAAATAACAACATGATCATATATTATTGGAGCAATTAAAAATTAAACATTACATAATTATTAATTAAAATAAAAATTAATAATTAAAACATTAATGTTCTTAAATTGCAAAGGCCATGAAATCTGTGGTGCTGTTTAAAGTTTACAGACATGTATTTCCAGTATGACTCCTCAGTTAGAAACAAACTTCAGCACATGTTGATGTTTTCCGTCCTGACAAGCATGAAAAGCAACAAATTAGTCATTACTCATGTCATCATTAATTTTATTTCATTAATCTCTTGTATCAGTTGTATCACACTATTCGTCATACTAATTTGGTTTTACACCTCCAAAATTGATATCAGGCTTCAGATATCAGGCACTTACACGCTGTGAGTCAAACGAGTCCCATAAATTGATTATAGTGTGAGAAAATCTCTGTCCTTCCCCTTCAGATGAAGGATAGAAATACAGAGAAAAGATAGTATAGTTATAGTAACTGTGAATTAGGTAGCTGATATAAACAAAGTACTACAGTCAAAGTGGCTAAAACCAGCATGGCTAAAGCCCATGAGGTAATGAAGGAATGCTGGATAATAATTTTCCTCTCAGAGACTGCACATACCAGATGGGCATAGCCATAGTGTTGCCTGTGTCACCGTCCAGTAATGTGACTACTGCTCAGATCTACTGTGAAGAAAGAGATGAGCGTGAAAGCAAAGGTGTTGATTTACCAGCTGATCTACATTCCTACCGTTCACTTGTGGCTGCAAGAAAATTGCAGATATAAGAAAATTAGTTTCTTCTGTACTGATTCTGGGATCTTCTAGGTCATCCAGAACTCAGAACTGCTACTCTCCATAGTGGTGGTTAGGGAATCCGAGTAGGATGGGTTCTTTCAGATAAAAGATGACCAAAAAAGCGGGTTTGGGGTGTCTCTGAAATGGTTTACAAAATGTATGTATGGATTAGTTGTACTAAAACGAATGCATAAAAGGGGGAAAATGGCTAAAGACACGTTTTTGCGATCATGTTTATTGCTGCGGTGCAAGAGGCAGCTTAACATAGGAGTCTGTGGAGACTGACTCAGTTTTAGCCTCAAGTGCTCATTCACAGAACTGCAGTTTTGACGTTTGTGCAATGGTTTCATTTGGTTGTGGAGGTCGCTGTTAGTTTGTAGCAATGCCAGCATAGGTATATAGTAGAGTTTTTTTCTTTTAAAGAAAAAAAGGGGGAGGAAGCAATTCCTCCAAATCCAACGTTACTTTATAAATACTTGGTAATAATTAGGTTTCTAATGGGTAGTTAATGTAACTCAACACTAAGATTGGAAATGGGAACACACAAATAAAATCCAGGAAGTTGTAATACTCAAGCGCAAAACTGTAACATTGTATTTGCACTAATTTTGCATGGATACACTTAATTAATTAGGCTTTTTTTTATTAATTAAACTTTTGATTGATCTTTGTGGTGCAGATAAGGAGCTGGAGGTTCTACAGAGCATAGCCGATCTGACAGTGAAGGCATCTGAGCAAGCTGTATTCAAGTGTGAGGTGTCTGATGAAAACGTGACCGGAAAATGGTTCAAGGATGGTGTCGAAGTCGAGGCCAGCGATCGCATCAAAATTTCACACATTGGAAGGTATCGCTATCAGACTCCAGTGGGTTAATGTTCTGTTGTGATAAAACTGTTGTTTCCAGCTCGGCTACCTATCATGTACAGCTGCACACATTATGACAACAGCAAACACACACACCCAGGCTCACAAAATCATACAGCTATGACAATAAGCAGTTTGCTACATGGCTTGGAAAACTATTACCAGAGGGCTTTCTTAGTTGTTTGACCCATTTTTTGGGGATAGGCTGCAATCTGTAAAGCTCTAACCTCTAAACACATACACACGCTCCCTCAAACACTCACACATGGTCACACACAAACAACAAACAGACCCCAAGGGTCTGGGTTTTCTCTCAGTAAGCCCTCCATCAGAGCGGCCTATGGAAGCAGATATGCCAAGGTGACAGCGGTCACACAAGGTGAAAGCCATTTAGTAGCTTTCTCACTCAGAGATATTGTCTCTTGAAGTATGTTGCTAGGGCAACTGTCCTTTGCATAAATGCGGGTCATAACAACTGCTGTCTCCTTGGTAACATCTGGCGACATGTCCCCAGGATCCACAAGCTGACGATCAATGATGTGAAGGCTTCAGACGCTGGAGATTATACCTTCGTCCCTGATGGCTACGCACTTTCTCTCTCAGCAAAACTGAACTTCCTGGGTGAGAGCGACGTAAAAATCAAAATACCAAGCGGTTCTTCTGAATTCAACCTATAAGTTGCAAATTTGAATCTTCCTGATCTGTTTTATTTTTCCCCACAGAGATAAAAATTGAATATGTTCCACGACAAGGTAGGTGCTTTTTTAAAAGACAAAATTCATACTTTATACTGTCGTGTATGACAGTAAATGTTAGAGATAATTATTGAGCTAATCAGCTGTTGAGAAAATATAGCAAATATCATATAAGATGCCACTGAGTGACCCTCTGAACAGGGAAATGGTTAAATGTCCTTGTGCCCTTTTTAAAAAATCAAATAGTTGATCATGTATTGTTAGTGTAACACTCTTATTGATTGATGCCTAACCGTACGTTATAGTTAGTGGGACAGATTCTGTCTATGTCAGGTTTTCCTCTATCCCAGAAGCACATCAAGGATTTCATTTCAGTTTTTTAGCGCAGACATTATTATATGCTTTGGTAATACAAATAGACTGGGTGACAGTTATCTGGGCTATCTCTAATCTTCATATAGTCATCAAAAAATTTAATGTTTGTGTGCATGTTGTGTTTTTCGTGTTATACAAACTCATCAACAGTTAGCTACAGAGGTTATGATTATATGAAAGCTACAGTTAGGCACAGAAGTCAGTATCTGGCCTAAAATAAAGTTACTTCATACATAATTACTTGCATTAAATATCCTTAAAGGTGCAATATGTAAGACTGCTAAACAAACCATCAGAAAAATAAATTAGCTGATAAACAATCATTACAGTGTGTCTGCATGTTGTTTCCAGAGATACCAAGCAAGCTCACGTGATACCAAAATAGTGGTGTCCCATTGCACAAGGCCACATTTGTACCTCAAAACAGGACAGTGAGTCTATGCTGTGTTCATTTTGCTCTAATTTCAAAACAAGAAGAGAAAGAAGTAACTTTCTCTCCTTGTTTTGGAGAACAAAGGTCATATATGATGACGAATGACTCTGAACCTTACGTCAAATTCTTGATTTTGTCAGTGAATGGACAAATGAAAAATGCAACAAAGGCTGAAGATACTGGCGAGCATCCATATGTGCAGGTTTTGTTTGGAGCTTAGCTCTGGTTGCTGCACTTATAATGTCCCTGAGCCATAAGAGGATTGGAGGGACTGAAAACCTGTCACTGAACTTAACTGTATTTACAGTTTTTCCTACTGATAAGGGAACTCTGCTATTGTTACTCATACTATGCCAAAATAATAAAGTAATAGGTAAACAAAAACAATTAAAACACAGAAGCATTTTACTATAGCAACTTATATTTTTTTTATAATGGGTCCATGAGGGGGAGCATTTTCTGTAATTTTAGACATAGTGACAGATGTCTTATTGGCAGATTTACTTACATTTCTTAATCATAAAACTGAACAATACTGGTGAAATTGCACTTCCTTTTTTATTTAACCACACTCAGACTGATGCTTAGGTATGTCTGTAGTACACTTTGTTCCACCTGCAACAACACCCTAGAGTTTACAGACGTACCCTGGAGTTCATTTATACATCCCTGCAGAAAGGTGTGAAGTTAAATCACAACAAACTGCTTTTTAGCTGCTGTTAAGTTGCTCTTTGCTCTCTGTTTTGTTCTCAAAATTGTGTGATCTTTTCATAAAATGCAACACAAAAGGGTCTTCTATGAAACAATTTAAAAATATATAATGAACTGAAGAATGTGAAAGTTGAAAATGCTCACAGCTCTGGGAAGCCATCGAGTAGACAAAAGCTCCAACTTGCTTGTTTGGCTTTAGGCAGTATAGTATGATGCTGCTCCAAATGTAAAACCCCCAAATCCCTCTAGTGTTTTTTTTTTTGCCAGAGTCCAAAAAGACCATATATAGAATAAAAAAAACAGTAAATTTAGTCTTTGTGCCACCTTTGAGACACCTTGAATCTCAAATATAAAAAACAAAAAAAGAACCAACATCATTGTTCTAAACTAAATGGTCTCTTTCTTCCTGTCTTCATCTGGTCACAATGAAAGATCCTCCCAAGATCTTCCTGGACACCGGTAGCTCCGGCGGCAAGAACAACATTACGGTGGTGGCTGGAAACAAACTTCGCCTGGACGTTCAGTTCACAGGAGAACCGGCCCCCACTGTGTGCTGGATGAAAGGAGACCAAGTGAGAAAGAAATGGCACTTATCCTTCACCTCGCATCACAAACACGTCAGATATTTTATATGTTCTGCGTCAATCGGAGTACCTCGCCGTTAGTCATTAAACAGCACAAAAGAAGAATGAAACAACACTAGAGTGGGACGGTTGAATCACCTGTCTTTGTGGTGGCTGTTGTCATGCGACACAGTCCTCTTCAGCAATCTCCTTTTGTTCTGTCTCTCACTCTGTGCTGCCCTGTGTGGTAGGTGTTGTCCGAGGCTGAGGGACGGGTCCACGTGGAGTCAGAGCAGAACGTGTGCAGCTTTGTAATAGAGGGGGCGGAGAAAGCGGACGAGGGCCAATACTCCATCACGGTGACTAACCCTGTCGGCGAGGACAAGGCGGATCTCTTTGTTAGAGTTGTGGGTCAGTGGCTGTTTCTTACTTTTGCCTTTTTCTTTCCTTGATCCCTTTCTATTACTTCTGTCTGACTGAGGGCAATAGTTCCTCAGAGTTTGAGACTGGGTCATGGTAAAAAAAAAAAAAAGGAAATCCATAATTTTCAATAGTGGTGCCATCTTTTAAAAACTCACATCATCTGAATTTTAGGTCCAGTGTCTTTGCAGCTTCTACCCAGAACAATTAACATATTAAAAAAAACACATGTTTTTAGACTTTCACCTCAGATATTGTTTTTCATTAAAATACATACTGTAAGGAATTTGTCTGTCTCTTAATAGAGTTAAGAATGACCAAGACATAATTTATATAATAAATAATAATTATCTAGTCTCTAGTCCAAGATGGATTTTTGGGTAAGCAATGAATAGAGAGCAGTGGATGAAATTACTTAAATAAGGGACATAGAAACATTTGATTAATAGTTTTTAAGAGTCACAAAACACACAGAATAGCTTGCTCTAACATGATTTGTAATCACCACTGATGTAATTTATTCTACAAAGTGGCAATGTCTATATAGAGGTAATAAAAAATGTAACGTTTTTCATTTGTGATCAGTGAAACATATGATGGCTTTACCAGTGCATTTGGTGTTGACTCCCCAAATCACATCTGCATGTTGTCTTACGTACTGTACTACATCAAAAACCTCAAACGCTCCCATTTCTCTCTGTGTTTCATCTCTCCATGCTTTCAATTTCCAACTGTAACCTGTCTCTCCAGATGTGCCAAACTCTCCTGAGAACGTCAAGTGCGCATCAGTTGGCGAGGACTCTGCCATCATCACATGGGACCCTCCCGCCTTTGACGGTGGAGTTGCCGTTAAAGGTACCCCTGAAACATGCAGCGTGTAATATTCACATCTGATGTCTTCCTCCCAGGAGAAAAGAGGAGTTTAAATTCCATTTTGTTTATTACATTGCAATATTTTTTTCTAACTGACGTGGAGCTGTTTTTAACGACTTCACCGTATGTTGATCCTGCTTCCTCGAGGGTACCTGATGGAGAGGAAGAAGATAGGCTCGCCCAGATGGACGAAGCTCAACTTTGATGTTTACGAGTCCACCACATACGAGGCTAAGAAGATGATTGAAGGTGTACTCTACGAGATGAGGGTGTTTGCAGTCAACGACATTGGCATCTCTCAGCCCAGTGCAAGCTCAAAGCCCTTCATGCCCATTGGTGCGTTGCCATTTGTCATTAGCAGAATGGTTAATTAACAGAGGCTTTTCACACAATGCTCATTTTGAAGCAGCTTAACCTACCTTCCCATCCCATTATACCCCGTATTAACGTATTAATTAGCTCTTGTCTCTCTCAGCCCCCACCAGTGAGCCCACTCGTCTCACAGTAGATGATGTGACAGATTCTACCTGTGCACTCAAGTGGCGTCCTCCAGAGAAAATCGGAGCAGGTGGCATCGATGGCTACATCATTGAATACTGCAAAGAAGGAAGTAAGAATAACCAAAATGGATATCACTTTATACTAAGGATTTATTTTGGATTTGTAAGCTATAACTAACGACATTAGATAAATGTCAGAACTTTACAAATTGGGGATATTAACAGTAAATTGTGGGCTAATACATATTTATGCACCTTTGAGTTAGCTAGCAAGAGGAATTCATACTTACACCTGCTATTCTGAGTGTATGATTGTTTTCCGGCTCTCAATCAAGGCTGCATGAAATGCTCTACACGTGTGAAACACTTGTCACGCTCAGTGGTTGCCATCTTGGCTATGCAGCAGAAAGGAAGGGGCCACTAAACAATTTTAAGCAGGTTAGATAATCATTACAATATAAATGCTAACAGTGATATTTGCATCTGTTGTGTTTTGTGTATATACATGAATTATGTATAGCCAGAGGCATGACAGGCAGAAGATAGTGGGATGATCACAGTCAAACATTAGAAATGTTATTTCCTGAAACTGGAAAGTTTAACATGTTGGATTTAACACAACATTACCCCGTTGAAATTCATTTCCTTTACAAGTCAACTCATAATGTACTACATGGCACTGGGATTCTGCTGTAGAAACACAAACAGAGAGACATGGAGGCTACAAGCCTGACTACTTGCTGCTTTTGTTACCTGTCTGCTGAGCTTTATCGTCACTCTTGGCTAGCTTTATGTTAGCATGCTGTTTGAGTAGATGCTTGCAAAGAGCCAAAGTTTTGGAGTATAATATGGTTGTTTATGTCCTGGAGTTTCTTTTGTCCGATGGGAAAAAAATAATAATATCCATATCACTGCTCCTCAAAAGCTCTAAACCGCTCCAGCATTTTTCTCTTGTCATGCACGAAAAAAAAAAAAATCAGTTGAACGCAGCACAAGTGTAGGAAGAAGTCTAAGGAGCTTGGAAAGAAAAGCGTTGGGACTTCTTTAAGTTGCTTGAAGACGTTTCACCTCTCATCTGAGAAGCTTCTTCAGTTCGCACTGCATTACTGAAAAATGTAATGTGATTACAGTAACACTGAACACTGGAATTTAGACACATTAGAAATCAGTCATGCAAATGAGATTCTTCAAATCCTGGCAACCCAAAAATTATTCATACAAAGAGAACGATTGATCATTTGCTAAACCTCTCTGCCTAAAAGTTATTTATTATAGGAACTGTAATAGTCATGGTTATTCCTTCGGTTAAAGTAATAAATGAGTGATATGACAAATCCTTCTTAAAACAAACAAACAAAAAAACATGAGCAAAGGCAAAAGAAATCATGTGTTTGGTGTAATGTGAGAGGTACTTATAGATGCTCCCTTATTTCCCAAAGCATTGCCACAGCACACACATCCGCATGTTTGATTTGGCTCAGATTTTGCACCAGATGCCCTTCCTAATGCAACCTTCTCATTTATCCAGGCTGTAGGAGTACACTAGCTTGTGACCCCCTGAGAAAAGGCCACCTGAGGCTGGATTAATGTGCGCTATAGAAAACTGTCCAACTTTCTGCCTACTGTAATAGCAATCATCATTCAGCTATTTACAAACTGTATGTGAGTTTTTAAGATTAGTAGGTATAAGAAAAAAGTTTGAGTGAAGACGTATTTGCCAATGTGCCTGTGTGTGTGTCTTAGTGTTATTTGTATATCTGCCTGTTCACTGGTAAGCAATATTTATACGTGATTAATTTCTCAGCATTAATCTCAAAGTTACACACTAATCCTGGTTTTCTGATCTGTTTCTTCACTATTCCTACTATTGCTTTTAGGTGACCAGTGGGTGCGGGTTAATGAGGAACCAGTGGGAAATATCCATTACAGGGTGAAGGGACTCCCAGTGGGGGAGAAAATGCTATTCAGAGTGATCGCAGTCAACATTGCCGGCCACAGTCCTCCTGCCGTTCTCTCCCAAGCCGTCACTATCCGAGAGATCGTGGGTCAGAAACAAGCTTTAATCAAACACAGCATTTAATGAACACATTTGTTTAACAGCACTAGAAATATTTAGTGTATTCAGGGATAGACATCATGTTCAGCAACCATTTAGGATCAATTAGAGGGGAAAAAATAATTTAGCTATTATAAATTTACTGCAAATATCGGAGATTTTTAACCAATAAGAGTCATTAATTTCTACTGTAACCACGCAAAGGAACATACACAAAACCTAAAAGCTCTACATATTTTACATTGTACATATCTATACGCCCCCACATCACCCACTCTTTCACAAAGTTAACTTTTGCTTCTCTGTGTCCACCAACCAGAAAATCCAAAGATACGCCTGCCTCGGCGTCTGAGAACCAAATTCATCACACAGGTGGGCGAGAAGGTGAACTTGGTCATCCCCTTCCAGGTGAGTCTGGTTTTAGAGTTTTAGCTTTTACACTTCATTTGCAATATCGGGAAAAAAAGAGTGGACAATACAAGGTGCTCTTATGTGGTTTTTGTTTGTTTGTTTATTGTTTAACTACATAAAATGTAAATGAACAAGGTGGAGTCACAGGCAGTAAACAACTGTAAACAGAACACCAGTCTCACTCCTCATGCAAACAGCACATATTTCCTCTTCAAAATACAAAAACAAACAAAAAACAGAAATGAGATGTAAACAATCATAGTAAATATTAAGAAATATACAAATATTAGAACAGTGGTTCTCAAACTGTGGAGTGGGTTCTCTGGGTGGTTCCAGCATTTTGAGTTTTTGGAAATAAACATTTTTTTGTATGTTTTTATTTCTGTTTATTATTTAGGCTTTTATTCTAGTTCTAGTTTGTTTTTATGGTCCCCTCAGACACGGCAGTGTCTCATTCTGCGTCTTCTCCCATCTGTTACCTTCACTCATGTCTCTGTGTTTTCTTTGTTGCAATTATTGTTACTCATTTGGTATTTTCCGTCTCTTTGGTCTTACATTTAGTTTTACTAAGAACCTTCTGTCTCATTGTATAGATTTGGTTCAGTTGTGTCTTGTTACCCTCCTGTTTCCACTTTCCCCTCTTGTGTAGAAGTAGTCGTGTCCTTCGCCTCAGTCTTTGTTTATCTTCCCTTGTGCTCTCTTTGTTCTTTCCCTTAAAGTTTATGGATTCGTTTAAGTTTTATGTTGCAATTTGCTGTGCTTTTGGATTTCTTTGTTAAATACATTAATATAAATAAAAGGTTTGCTTTTGTTACCTTCTGCCTGCTTATTGGAGTCCTACATTTGGCATGTGCTCAGAGTCACCAAAGGTGAGGGACAGATGACCATGAAAAAATATGGAGTGAAAGCAAATACGGCTTGTTTTCTCATAAAGTTTAATGATTGATTTTTGGTTTTGAATCAGAGTAAGTGGGGGGATATATGAGTAGACAGTGAGGGTTGAGGAGAATGAGATTATGTTAAAGGAATAACAGCCAAAATACAGCTCTTATGTCTCAAGGCTAAAATTCTGGTTTTGAGGTATTTTTTGAGTTCATTTAATAGAAAAACAGGATATTGTACTCATAAATATACATTAATTAATGTGATGTATAATTATGCCTTTCAACAAATTGATGCAATCTAATAAAGTTATATATAATAAACTTAAATAATCCATTAAAAATACATAGCAGCAGGCACTGCTTTGTGAAAGCTATCACGTTGCCCTGCCATCTTGACTATAGCACCCGAGATGGACACTGCTGTTCTGCTTAATTGTGTTTTATATGTGTGGCTTGAGACCAGCTGCATATGTGGTACATCAAAGGCGGTGGAGAAGAGAACTCATAGGTGTTCTTTTGCTGTCAGGGCAACTTTTATTCACGCCAGACTCAAGATATGAAGGATCGTACCTACAGTATGTTTTATCACATAAGACGGGGTTCTCATCACCAAAGATGCAAAACGTGAAGGAAAGAGACAACACAATCAGCATCTGGTTAAAATATCATGCTTTTTCTCTTTACCTCAGACCTCATCTCCCAAACTGAAGTCAGGGTTTGTGCAAAACCATCTTATTTATTCCAAATATGTTTGCAATTACTTATTGTCATTAAATGTGACCATCCTGTTTCCGAACGGCTGATAATGACCTGTCTAATCAACAACAACAGTTTGTTAAAATAAGCTAACATCATGCAAGTGTTCTAGAATTCACTTTCCCTCTTATAATCAGTCTTAGTCCCCACTAAGTCCAGCAATTGTAGATCCACTTTAAAGAAATTTTTACTAACACACTAACAGTAGCTAACAGTGGCAAAAAACAGCAGCACTTACCAAAAGAAAAGTTCAGGATTTCCTCAACAACTCCCCCCAGTATCGCTGTCATCACACAGAAGTGAGCTTCACTTCTGGAGGAGTTTTAAAGCCTCCAGAATAAATAGACACGGACACACATAGACAGCTGAGGTAAACAGCTTACTGTTTTTACCCCTCAAACACTAACATTTTTTGAGGGGTAAAAACTCTACTGAAGCCTAGTGGTGATATTTTATACACTTTAACTTTGAACAAAGTGTCAGTACCCCATGTCTAATATTTAATTAAAGGAGAGTAAAGGCAGAATATCCACATGACACCTAAAAATATTTTTTATCTAGCTTTGGTAAAGTGGTCAGAGAGTAGATTAAAGAAATGTTTTCCACCCATTGTAAATCAGGCTTTCACATCACACATACCTCCACTCGACTGCCTATGGAATATTTATAGAATCTAAAAATACAGAAGGAGTCAAAATCAGTCATGAGCTTTGAAATATGAGCTGTGAGCAAAACCGTGAGGTTGGACAGAAAACATAATGACTAACTGTTGAAAATGATTTAAAAAGACATACATTCAAATCTTTACTAGTTGCTATTCTAAATTTATTTCCACTAGAAAATGCAATTTCACCTAAAGATGGCAGAAAAACATGATTAGCTAGTCAAGCAATCCCCAGCCAAAAGTTATTGGTTCACATTTCTGGTGTTTGGGGCCATCTGTAAATACCACATTACCTTAACTTTAAACTTGCTTTTTTCAGTTATCTTTAACAAATGGCTATATCATGCACCGGGGCATCTAAAAATCTAAAAATGGGGTAACATTTGTATCAAAGCCTACCCAAGCTCAATCCCACTGCACATTGTAGATATTTTAAGTGAATCCTTGAGTGGTCATTTGAAGAAAAAACAGCCAAGCCCTTATTTCCCCATGGCTGCTACTTGAAAACATATCGTCCTCTTCTGGAATCTAATGTGCTAATGTTGGTAGTAACAGGGGAACAAGAGTTCTAAAGGCACAGGGAGCGTTACAGCTTTTGACAGCAACTTGCAAATTATGGCAGTGGTAAAAAAGAATTTAACCATAAGCTGTAAAGGGTAAACCATTGTTCTAAATAAAAATAGACAAGAAGAACGCGAGCCATAGCTCGGTCTCCTTTTGAAGAAGCAGATGAAAAGCCTTCTCTGAGACAGAGAACATGGCTACATAGTGTTCTCCTGGGAAAAAAAGAGCACCGACTGTTCTGTCATCTCATCCACGAGCTGGACTGAGTGTGTTCCCGCGGCTGTTTTTACACTGATGTAATATCAGGCCATAACTAAAGTTATCGGTGACATGTTTATTAAAATATTTTATGTGCAAAAGTTTAAATTTTTTTTTAAAAATATTCTATAAGATCAATTTATTGTTAATCAAAAGATCAATTTACTAGTAAGGACATTATTAGTGAGTAATCAAGTCAGTTGTTTCATTTTCAACAGATTAACCAAAGCATTAGTTTAGGTGGGCCCCCAGATCGAGGTCAGATGAAATAATGGCATATCAGCTGAAGACTCAGCTACTGAGTTAGTTATTCTGATACGCTGCCAGTCAAACGCTTGGACACCTTCTCATTTAATGTTTCTTTTCTTTTACTATTTTTTACATTGTAGGTATAAAAAGAAAACATCAAATGTATGAAGCAAGATATATGGAATTATGCACCAAAGAAAAAATTGATAAATAACTCTAAATATGTTTTATATTTTCGATTCCTGAAAGTAGCCCCCTTTGCTTTATTGACAGCACAGCAAACCCTTGGCCTCTCAATGAGCTTCATGATGCAGTCACCTGAAATGGTTTTCACTTCACAGATGGGCCTTGTCAGGGCTTATTTGTGGAATTTGTTGTTTTCTTAATGGGGTTGAGATCATCAGTTGTGTTGTGCATAAGTCAGGTTGGTACACAGCTGACAGCTCTATTTGACAAGTGCTAGAATTCATATTATGGCAAGAACCAATCAGCTAAGTAAAGAGAAATGACAGTCCATCATTACTTTAAGAACTGAAGGTCAGTCTGTCTGGGAAATTTGACTTTGAATGTGTCCCCAAGTGCAGTCACAGAAACCATCAGGAGCTACGACGAAACTGGCGTACATGAGGACAACCCCAAGAAAGGAAGACAAAAAGTCACCTCTGCTGCTGAGGATAAATTCATCCGAGTCATCAGCCTCAGAAATCGCAAGTTAACAGCACCTCAGTTTACAGACCAGATAAATGCTACACAGAGTTCCAGTGGCAGACACATCTCTACGTCAACTGTTCAGTGGAGACTGTGAATCAGGCCTTTATGGTCAAATAGCTGCTAAGAAACACTACTAAGGAAAAGCAACAACCCAAAGAGATTTGTTTGGACCAAGAAACACAAGGAATTGCCATTAGACCAGTGGAAATCTGTGCTGGGAGGAGGTGTGATGGTGTGGGGGTGCTTTGCTGGTGACATGGTTGGGGAATTATTCAAAATTGAAGCCACACTGAACCAGCGTGGTTACCACAGCATCCTGCAGCGACATGCCATCCCATCCGGTTTGCGTTTCGTTGGACCATCATTTATTTTTCAGCAGAACTATGACTCCAAACACACCTCCAGGCTGTGTAAGGGCTATTTGACCAAGAAGGAGAGTGATGGAGTGCTGCACCAGATGGCATGGACTCCTTGGTCACCTAAACCCAGCCGAGATGGTTTGGGATGAGATATCAGATGTACGGCAGGAGCAAAGAGCAGGTTCAAATCAGGATCAGAATATTTATATTACAGAGATGCTGAGCACTTGTTGGCCCTTTTGCCTTCACTCTGCAGTCCATCTGATATTGTTGCGATTCTTTGCCAACAAATCTTTATTCAGATTTACTTCAGTGGCATATCTCTATCTTTGGGCAGGCTGTGTATCTCTGTATCTGCAAGCTGCTTTGTAACCCACCTCTACCCCAGCTACCCACATAGCAAGCAGGTCTGGCCCGGATCTGGTATCAAGCCGGTACTGCTGGCTGACTTCTGGCATGGTAAAACGTATGTCATCAAGATATGGGCCAGGCCTGGCATAGATCACACTATGTGATGGCATGCCATATCTGGCTCGATTGTGGTTTGGTTTAGGAGGTAGAGCAGTTCACCTATTGATCACAAGGTTAGTGGTTCGATCACTGGCTCTTCCAGGCTGTATGTCAAGTGTGAATATGTATAAATGTAGTTCGGAAGCACTCAGTTTAGAGAAAGTGAGTGTGGTGTGTTTGAGTAATCTGGCAGAGTAGACAAGTGCTATATAAGAATCAGTCCATTCACTGTCTGAACAGAGTTTTGTCATGTTACTTTGCACTATTATGCACGTTGTTATTACATGGCTTGATTAAGGTACACATTAGGCTGACATCTGGGGCCAGAGCTGAAACTGTTCTGGGCCAGCACAGGGCTAGCAAAAGGCCACTTGTGGACACATTGCTGGCCATGCGTGGGCCACATCTGGCAAACCTGATCTAGGCCACCAAAGGGCCGTCATTCTTTGCGGTATGTGGGCCATGTGTAAGCACATTGTGTGGGCCAGATCTGGGCCATACCAATTTTGCTATGTGGATAACACCAGGTTTGTTGACAGTGATGATTCCTCTGTTCTGTGCTGAAGTCTTCCTGCTTCTTTTGCTGCCTCAGTATTTTAAAATAAATGCTTAGCGGGGCAGAATGGTCTCATGGGACAATAGAGACATACTGTCTGACATGATGGAAATTATGATCTTCTTTTGCTATAAGGGTTGTGCCCGATTTTTGGAAAGACTGTATTCCTTGAAATATTTGGAATCATTTCCTTTCCTTTCCTTTCCTTTAATTACAGGGAAAGCCTCGTCCTGTTGTGACCTGGTATAAAGATGGTGTTCCCATGGAGGACCGCACAGTGGGAACTCGTACCAGTGAAGTTGACACCATCCTCTTTATTCGCTCTGCTGAGAGGGTCCACTCTGGAAAGTACACACTGTCTGTTCAGATTGAAAACATGTCAGACAGCGCTGACATACACATCCAGGTTGTAGGTCAGTCCCTTCACCATGGCAACACCTTCTAAGCTTCACCTAAAGAATGTAAACTCGCACCTCGTGTTCTCTCATTGAGATTAGAACATAGCACGTAATTCACAAAGTGCATGATTAATAACCTTTTTGAAATGGGATGATGGTTCGAGCTTGAATCTGTGACATGTCAAGAGTCTTTTTTTTGTCAAATTTGATGATAATTCCTTATTTCATACTCTGAAGGATCTGTGACTCAAAGTAGCAAATCATCAAAGTGCTCAGTCCTCTTTCTCACTCTGTTATAATCCTGGCTCCTGCCTCTGTGGCCGCCAGCTCATTCCCCAGCTTACTGCTCGTCTCCGCGGGTCAGGGTTCTGGGTGGATTATTTGGTGGGGCTCTGCTGAGATTATTTGCTTATAGACTTGGATTAGGTTTGGATTTTGAGGGCTATTCTGTCACTTCCTCTGCTGAGAAGGTTGAGCTAATAATGAGAGGCTCTGATCCCCCCCTCCTCAGTTGATCTGTCACTGTACTCGTTTAGCAGGAGACAGTACAGGAGGGATTAAAGGGGAAAAACAGAAGCAGTGCTCACAGTTTGTACTGTACTCCAAAAGAAAAGAGTGTTCACAGCAAGATTAATGAGACACACACTACTATGTTGCACTGTTTTCTTTACTGCACTGTGTTTGGTGAAGGCCACAGAGAAGGATCAGTGATAAATACACTGCATTTCTCTGCTTTGTTATCGAGGCATACTTCTTCTTTGTTACGTCTATGCCAACAGTTTTTCTAGTAATGTATGCAACTATCACCGCCTTCCCTTGATCCTATTGTCTTTTGCTCTGCTAATCTGTCAATCTTTCTAATCTGTCTAATCTGTCAAATCTCTACGGCTGCAAGTGTTGATTTCTTTGTCTCACTGGGACTTCCCTGCTCCATATCTGTTTGTACATTTCTCCCTCTCTCAGCCTCTAAAAGCCTTGCCAACATCTATGTCTAGGCAAAGAAGAGAGTTATCTCAGCCAGCTATGCATGTGTGGAACATTTTTTCACCACCCTTGAGCTGTGCAGTTTAATGAACCTGTCTTGTTCATAGTTTCACACAAAATCCTCCACCTGTATCTCGACTCTGCCACTTCTCACAATCCCACCAGAAAAGCCTGGTCCTCCCATCGCCGTGCATGTCACAGATATCTGGGGCTTCAATGCTGCGCTGGAGTGGAAGCCGCCTAAAGATGACGGCAACTGTGAGATTATTGGCTACACCATTCAGAAAGCTGACAAGAAGACTAAGGTATGCATGACAGAGTGTACAGGTGGTACTGAGAGGGTTTGTCAAGCAAGGTAATTCGCTAATAATAGTGCTGGAGGCATGCAACTCTGGAGCAACAGTGTCTTTTAAATTATGCATCCAAGTACAAGTTGAACCAAATTCTTCTGTGTTTTGTTTTTAATGTCACTGGGATTAGATTTAATTGTTTTTGCCTGACATTTTCTATATTGTGGTTTGCTAAATGTTAAACAGCCAGGCATGCTCCATGAAAATCAGTCCTGCTTTGGGATCTTTTGCTGACATTAGCTGCTGCAGAATAAATTTGGAACGATAACACTGTGTCTGATCATCAGAAAAGAAACAGAATGTAAAAAACCCCCCAGAAAATGCAAGCTTAAACTTTCTGTAACTACAGAAACAAAAACTGCACCTGATTTGTCTCATTTTGCCCATCAGGGTCGCCTCCTTGTGCACCTATGGATCACTTCCAGAGCTCACTTTTCAACTTCTATGTTGAACTAACCCAAGTTTCATGTTAAAAAAACCCCATCAATATGTTTATATTTTAACACACACACACACACACACACACACACACACACATACACACACACACAAAAAAATAGATACATAAAAAAAAAATATATATAAAAAAAATTATAGCATTTTCTGCTCATTGTTGTTACTCTCCCCCCTACAATTTTATGAACAATTTCTTGAAAGCAGTAAACCTCTAAAAGCCCACTTTACACTACAGTCATGGTAAAAAAGAAATCAACTGTCAGTTCTAAGTTTTTCAATCAGTTTGTCAATCAGCACATAATAAAGATCCTTGGAAGGTGTTAAAATTGGGTAAAATTACATATGAAATATTACACCCTGCCATTATTTATTTAATAAAAACTAAGTCAAAATGCAGAAGCAGTGTGCAGAAAAAGTAAGTACACCCTTACTGTGTCAACAGGAAATATAAGGGAAAGCGAAAGACAAGTGCATATAATCAAATGCATTTAATTAACTGATAGTTGATAAGTGAGAGCACTCCTGTAAAAGCTAGTCTGGAGCATTCAGGTGTGTAGATACATTGCCAAGATGCAAAGACATCAGCTATCATGTTAAAGAAACAATATTTGCTGCCCATCAATCTGGGAAGGTGTTTTGAGACTTTGAAGTCCATTATTCCAAGTGAGAAAGATTTTTCACAAGTGAAAAACATGTCATCTTCACACGGCATTCCCACTCTGGCTTCCTAGAAAATTTACTCCAAAGTCAGAATGTGCAATGCTCAGCGAATGTGCAAAAAACCCAACGTCGTACGTCGTACGCAAAGCCGTCGTACGCTACCATGGTCGTTATGTTGAATAAATCGACAGGAAGGCGGCCTAGAAGCACATAGATGTTGGGCACTGGAGATTCTTCAGCATATAGAGCTCCACCTCAGCTATAAGCCTCTTTGAACCTCTCCTTCTCTCTCATACATCAGGAGTGGTTCACGGTCTATGAGCACAACCGCAGGCCCAGCTGCACTGTGTCTGACCTGGTCATGGGGAACGAGTATTTCTTTCGAGTGCTCAGCGAAAACATCTGTGGCCTCAGCGATGAGCCTGGCATCAGCAAGAACACCGCTGTCATTACCAAAACAGGTAATGAAATCCCCGCAGAGCTCTGCTCTCTGTAACATGATAGTATTGCTTTTGATGCTGAGCAACATCTAACGCATGCTGAGCGGTAGACCACATTGTATTCAATTGAAAGATAAAGTGAGCATTGTGGTTTGTAAAGGGTACAGTAGTGAAAAACAGAAGCTACACTAAATAAAACGCAGCCTTGTATTATTTTCGCTGTAGAACACAGTAACGACATTAGAACTACCTATAATTAATTATCGGCTGTGATTAATTGCTTGAACATGGTTTAAAGCTAAATTAATTCACACTGATTACGCTTAACAGATATATTCTTTGACAGAGTGTTAAATACCATTTAATATTGGCCGCATATTATGAAAGCAACCAGGCTGGGAAATTAACACCTGCCACCAGCCAAATGCTGCTACTGTTTTTGTGTTGTTGCATTTGCTTACTCTCCCAGAAGACTTGGCAGCCCACCAGCCAATCTCTTTTGTGTTCCAAGCATCAGTCTGGCCTATAAAATTTGGAGGGTTGTTGATCGCGGTGCCCACCTGACCTGAGCATAAAACAAAAAGTCAGCTTCCTGCCTCGATAACTCAAAAGCCAGTTGAGAACAGTTGCTTGTGTGAGAGGATGCGGCGTGGATATTACAGACAAAACATTCCCAAAATAGTGGACAGTGACAACTGAAGGTTAATAATTATGCATTTCAGTCTATGTGTTACACATTTCCTGGACAGAATCGACTTTTACAGCGTGGTACAAACTAGCTTGGCGTCTTTTAAACTGAGACATGCCCCACCGAAATGAAAACATCTTTCATCCACTACACTATGTAAGCCTTTTCAGCTACATGGCCTTCATCTGTCTTTTCATCATATTCTTCAGAAAATTCTCAGAATTATTTGAATTTCCTCTTAACCAATCAATGGGTAGATTTGTTGAATATCCATTATTGATACAAGGAAGCAAATTCGGTATTATTTCAGTCTCACATTCACCATAGAAAGAGCTGGAAAGCACAGGACAAAAACCTTTGGGGAGTCAGCGTTAGCTTTTATGCTCCAGTCTGCTGGAGGACGTGTTGAAATCTTTAATCATAAACTTGAAGCTTACCTCTTTACCCTGCCTTTTGATTTATTTATGGATATATGTACTTTATTTTCATCTATGTTGACTTTGATTATGTTTCATTATATCTGTGTTGGCTTCATAGCAGCCACTGTTATTATTACACATCAAGCAGTGTGAGTGTATGTGTGTCTCAACGTCTTCACCCCATGGCCAGGTTTGCTCTACAACACTTCACCCTACAAAGAGATAGACGTGAGCAGCTGTCCTAAATTCACAGCTCCCCTGGTGGACAGAAGTGTCATTGCAGGATACAGTGCCGCCATCTCCTGTGCCGTTCGTGGCAACCCCAAGGTATCTGAACTTTACTTTTTACAGGTGTGTGTCAGTGATGTCGTTTTTTGGGCATTTGATTGGAGTTCATTTATAACCCAAGGTATTTATCCTTCTGCTCTTAATTATTTGTCTTTTTATATTTTTAAGATATAAAATAATTTTTAAAAATCGGTTTAAAAATTGGTCTGTAAAACCAAGCAACAAGGTATTTAGACTGTTAGGTATTTAGACACCAATCAGTATGTGGATTTTGATGGTAGTTTGTGTGCGGCTCACAGATTCAAACATATCTAGAAAACCTAAAGATAAAATATAGAGAAGTGTGCTTCCTAGTTTACAGAGGTGTGGACTCGAGTCACATGACTTGGACTCGAGTCATTCATTTTATGACTTTAGACTTGACTTGAAAAAATGTTCTAAGACTTGTGACTTGACTTGTACTTTTACACCAATGACTTGGGACTTGAATTGGACTTGAACCCGTTTACTTGAAAAGACTTGATATTTTACCCCAAATATAAAATTTAACATGCATATTATATAGAGATTGAAAATGTGACGTCATTCACGGGTAGAACCGCAAAGGATTCTGGGAACTCGTGGCAAGCGGTACTAGCGCACGCAGGCTTTCAATTAAAATCAGTTATACAGCGATAAAAAGAAACACAAAAATGTCAAGAAGCTGTTGTATTATTAACTGCAATAGCCGGTCGCATGACAGCCACGGGAAGCCGACGGGTAAAGAGATCGGTTGTTATCGGATTACGTCGTTGAAGAGAAATTGTTCGAGCCATGTTTCCGAAGTAACAAAGACGCGACGGATGGCCTGGATTGCAGCCATTCAAAGACCAAATATAACGTCCCAGAACACTCCAGCTCACAGGTTAGTCTGCTCCAAGCATTTACACGAAGGTCAGTGTTTTTTAGTAGTTAATACGTCATTTTCATAACATAATTAGTGATATAGGTTACAAGCAAGTCTGGCGCTGAACAGAAATTGTCGCGCTATGCTCCTTTGTTTATTGTGCATAAATAGTGAATTGTCCTGACACAATATTGCGTTTCGCTTCTGTTATTATGGTACATTGACAAAAACATATACTTTTATTCACAGGATAAAACAGGTTTTTTGTATCACTAATTGCCCAGTGCGATTACAGCATACAGTATTATTGTCACTGCTACATTTCTGTGATGGGTACCAGAAATTATTTCCACTACTAATTAATTACCGTTGAGCTCAAAGGTCCTATTAATAAACGGTTAACGAATGTGTATTTATGACGACAATTTGTGAGACTGGTAAACTTATGATATGTACGATGGTCTTTCGTTCTACACGGTGCATTTCAAGGTCCTGCACCCATCCGTCGGTAAACTGTACCTGGGCTTGTTGCAGTGACCTGAAGTTACTAAACTTCATGAGTGTGTGCACTCACTCCAAGAACCGTATAATTATAAATATGCATATAAATATGCTACGATGAGATAGCTGACTTCATCTAACTAGCAAATGTTGTCCAGGCTACGTTGGTGATGCAGTTTTTTTTAATGTGTATGATATTTTTGTCATGCGATTTTAAAGCTGGTCCTACAACCGCATCCAAGAATAACATGCAGCTTATCTCAGAACTGTCGGTGAAAATTATTCTTGGAGCTAGGTTTAATTGAGCTGCATTTTAAAGAGGTGCAATTTCACAATTTGTGTATATTTTCTAAGTTCACTATTTTGTCATGTGTTGAGAAAAACACAGATTTTAAAATTACATGGTCTAATATTTACATTTAGCATAACTGCAACATTATTTTTTCGTTTTTTTTTTTTAAAGACTCGAAAGGACTTGAAATTCAAAGTTTCAGACTTGTGACTTGACTCGGACTTTTACACCAGTGACTTGAGACTCGACTCTGACTTGCCTGACATTACTTGAGACTTGACTTGAGACTTGAGGATAAAGACTTGAGACTTACTTGAGACTTGCAAAACAATGACTTGGTCCCACCTCTGCTAGTTTATGCATGACGAGTGAAATAAATGTGAAATAAAGTGAGTACAATGTGTCCTAGTGTGGTTGTGTTAAGACAAAAAAAAAAAGTCATGGCTGTCAATAAAGCAGTGCTGAATGCACAAAAGGTAACCCCCAGCTGTTTGTTGCAAATGACTATACTACACACTACAGCACCATCGTGTGTGGACTTTACCTGGATTGGCCTGTGATAGCTGCACTGCAAGGGTTTGCCACAGATTTCCTGCTTTGTGTTTTTTACAGGTTTTGAGTGTCAAGCAGTGAGTGTGTGAACAGTCAGAAAGGATTTTGATGCCTTTGCTGCAGGAATGTATTTTTATGTAGGAAGCTAGAACAAGAGGTGGAGCAGCTAGATCTTTTAGCGCATGTATTTTTTTTAATCACACAAAATCGGCAAAGATTTGTCAAGGCGAAACGTTGACCTAATTTCACCTCCTACCCTCCTCCCTCTGCTCTCTCCTACCCTCCTGACGTCCCTCGCTGTGTTATCCCCCCCACGCGCACACTCACACACCCTTCTCCTCTCCTTTCCTGCAAACCACCAATTTTGCTTGCTCCTCCAACATCCTACTGTGCCTTAGCCAAAGATCATTTGGATGAAGAACAGAATGATCATCGGTGAAGACCCCAAGTTTCTGATGCAAAACAACCAGGGAGTGTTGACTCTGAATATCCGCAAGCCAAGCCTGTTTGATGGGGGCAGATACTCCTGCAGGGCCATCAATGACCTCGGGGAAGACGAGGTGGAGTGCACTCTGGAGGTTCGAGGTATGTCGATGTAGTTTTCACTTCCCACAACAATGTAGTTTCAAAGCTAAAGCATGACCTGAAGTCAGGGCAAGTCTCTCCCTGGCAGGCTTCAATAAAGCTCACCATGACAAATCTCCATCCCCTCAACCCCTTTTGCCTGAGCTGTTGTTCAGGCGAAAGCAGAATTCCTTTTCCTGTGCTAAATATAAATCACCTTATTGTATTTGTCAGAGAAAGTTTCAGAGCCACAGATGACTTTAAACAGGATGATCTGCTGGCCCCTCGTGCTGATTTAAATTTCTCTTTTTCTCCACAGTTTTACAAGAGAAAGGGGAGGAGGCGAAGAAATGAGCGGCACTGCGAAACAGCAGAGGATACAGTTGAACAGGAATAGTAATGGATTATGTATAACGGGATAGTCATGAATAAATATGATTAAAATAGATCACTTGTGAGGCTCTAAAGCCACCCCGTGCACCCCCCACCCCCCTAAACGCATATGCTTGCCTTTCACCGCTGCTATGATGAATGCCATATCAGTAATATGCCATAAATTCTTTCAGCACGCTGCCACCTTGTCACTCCCTGACTGAGAGAACCCACAGTGTAGAGTAGTAGAGCTGCCCTGCTGTGACCACACACACAGATGGATCCTTCTTATCTGTGAAGTGGACCTGTCACTGAACACACTTATAAAACAGCCTTTCATCCATTACGGCTCCCTGTGTTGTCTGTTTTGTGTCCTGGACGTTTTTATAGGTTGGTATGAATTTATGATTGGGATGCAGCTGCAGCACTGAAAGCACCGCAGTGTGACTGACCGGCTGTACGCACGCCCCTGTTTCCTCGCTGTGGTGTGTGAGCTGTAATGGTTCAATGGAGGGATCAATATTCAGTCAGGCATAGCCGACATCATGGCGTAACCAGGATTAAAGAGGTTCTCATACACAGATATAGCCCTGCTGCTCCACCACACGCACACACAAAGTACCAGTGTTGACTCACAACGCACTCTCTTGCAGTATTTACCCATTCCCTCATGCTCTCATACTACATTCCTCATGGCATGACCTATACTGGTGGGCCTTTACAGAAACATGGTTTACACTCATGCACATGCGAACACAAACATACACACTCCAAATCAGGGTCTCATTAGCATCACACACTAGAGACTAATTAATGCACCCATCAACACTGCCCTAATTAGCTCTCCCACGTCATTACTGAGCAAACGAATTACCGCTAATTTACACACCCGCAAAACAAACACAGCACCGTCTCTGCTGGGAGAGTCCGCGGCGGCTCGCCTCGCACACCAAATTAAAGCCTCACCGATGTGCTGCAACTCCGACCCAAGTGTGCCTGCCCTCCCTCACACGCACACACACCCTAACTTCACCTGACTGAAGGAAAAGCTCAAGTTGGAGAGTGAAAGTGTGAGGTGTGTCATTTGTGAACTAGGGCAAATACATCACCCTCCCTTGGAGATGTGAAGGTACTTTTTACTCTCGAGACCTGTCCCACCGCTGAGTACATCAGGTCCCGGTCTCTTGTCTCTCCAGCAGAGGGGGTAAGAGCACAGTGACAAAGAACACAACTGACCACCATTAGGGTCTGTGCTGTAATTGTGAGTGGCAGGTTATTAAGCATCATTACATTACTGATGCACCGCTTATCGAAACACCGAACCTGGCTCCCAAACTGTGCCAATCTTCCCGTAACTCTTGGCACTCATCCTGAAACACTTCCAAGTACAAGAAATTGAATTTCCTCCTTTACATCGCAGCATAAAGATGAGTTGAAATAGGATGAGGCCATATGTGGCCAGATAAAGCGGGGAAATCCTCCAGATACCTGAAAGTAGGCCATGATTGGTTACACAGTAGACCTGCAGTGCGGTACAAAGCTTATATTTTGAACCCTGTCGAGCAGTAAATGACTCTGCGAGTATGTGTGTGTGTGTGTGTGTGGATTATGTGTGGTGTTGATATAATCGTATTGTCAGTTAACCTGAGACACAGCGTGGTGTGTTACTCTGCTGATTGACACATTAAAGCGGCACTGAAGATACACCGCGTGCTACTTTGCATGGAAGTTTTGGGAAAAACAGATTCTTTGGGAAAAAAAACAGCATGTAACCTCGATACTCCACCTGAATCTTACCCTGTCTCAAAAGTGATGTTCTGTTGCTAAGCAATCAAACTAATTGTATCTACTGGCATCATCCACAAGCCATAGGAAACTTTAAAAACATTAGAAGGTGCTGGTTTACAATGCCACAATCAGTGTTTATGTGTGTGTGCGCGTGTGCGCCTCTTGTCTTCTCACACAGTTCGGGAAGCTTTAAGTTGTAAGCAAGAACAAAAAAAATTATAGAGCATTTTGTTTCCCCTCATTCCCTGTGACACACCTTAAGGCTCTTTAAGTTTGCGATGTCTGGATGAATAATTAATGAGGAAGCATGGCAGCTCAGGAGTAAAGCACCAGCTTCTTCATGCACACTGTATCTGCTCTGCTGTCTTTCCAATATTAGAACAGGCCTGCCTCAGACGACGACTAAACAAAGAAAAGTGACAAGACAAGTCTTACCACCAGGCAAAGGGAAAGGGTGGGAGAATCAGTAGGGTGCAAGCACTGTTGTGTCTGTGTGCGCGGGATGTGTGAGTGCTCGAGAAAGACAAGCGATACCAGAGAGACAGAAACAGACCTCCTGAAACAGTAGAACGGAGGGAACTATAATTATGCAAGTAATTATACATGAAATCACAGACTTGGATTGAGAGAGGGAGAGAGAAAGAGCACTGGAGGGAAAAAGCCTTGCAGTGAGTCTCATCCGTGTAATTGCAGTATAGGAACTAAATGAAACAGAAGGGGAACACACACATTACATTGGACCATCCACCTGTTTTCTCTCAACGTCACACCAGGTCCAGCCAGCTACTTTTAATCTACATCCAGGCTATTGCACAGTAATTCTGTACATTTCACCACATGGACTTTATGTCTTCATCTTCTGGTTACTGTGGTGTGCTTTATTGAAGATCACTGTGACTTATACCCTGTGTCATTCTGTTCATTGATTAAAGAGCCCGAACCCTCCCGCAGCTCATGATCCAAATAATGAGCACACTGTATCTGCAGGGGGGTGGGGGGCATAAAGTAGAGAGCTGCCCTCACATTTCACAATAATGACAACTTCATGACTGCATGCGGCTGACAGAAACAGCTCTGTTTCTGCTAACGGTGGCACAGCGCTGTCATACCTCTGCAAAGGAAGATTCCCATTTTTAGAGCTCAGGTGAGCGCTTAGAGTTTGCAACGTTGGCATTTTGCCAGCCGGATCAACTTCAGGTTCGACTCGCTTATGCACTAAAAAGCAAACAAACGTAAAGCTTGGAAATGTTTGCA